TCGTACCCCTGTGCGCGTCCACGTGTTCCAGCATCGGGGCCTGTTAACGTGTGCGCACACCGACAGGCCCCGGATGCCTCCGGCGATATTCCCCCGCAGGCCCAGACCCGCGTATTCGATTTTACACACGGTTTTGCGAGTCCTCGCGCGATATCTGCTCGCGAGAAACGCATAATTGAACGCGCGACGCCTAATCAATTCTTTCCCGCGGTGCCCTCTCTATGGGCGTAGCGATTGTTTTTTGCTGGAACAATTGCTGAAACGACGAGAGCATCACATGGAATGAACAACTGTAAATCGTCGAGCCGCTGTATCGGCGCATCGAAGCCGGCGAGAAGCTTGTTAATCAGCTTCGGAATGGCGAAGTATTCGGCTCGGTACACTTTTATGGGCAGAAAAAATTTATTAGAGAAATTAGTGTTGGATGTTATTACCGCTTCGGCTGTAAATCTCGGGTTCATTTATATGGACACACGGTTTCACTGCACTCTGATTTCACGTAAGTACCCGGTAAATGAGAATTTGTGCGAGGCACATCGGCGATAAATACACGGAGCGTAGCTCATAATTATCCCAAGGACAGTGCATTAACGTTATCCCGTGAGATTCCTCGATAAAAACGACTGTTTATCGCGGCGATCAAATGATCCTTTAATCAGCCATCATTGCGCTGTAATTTAATCCGTTTGATACGAAATCATTATCTTTCGACGGTTGAAAAAAACCCTTCGAGAAATAATTGCGAACGCTAACTGAACACACGTTTACAGAAATAGCGAATTTAGTGGAAGGGGTAGTCCAAAGTTTGTAACTTTCTGCAGAGAAACGTGATTCTAAAAATGTTGTAATTTAAAGCGAGATGCAGTTTCAGATTTGGGACTTCGAACCCCAACAGCTGGAAAAACGGACCCAAAAGGCTGTATAATTAATTTGTGGCTAGAACAACCGTCCTAAATATTTCTGATTCAACGAAAGACAGAGTTCAAGATTTGGGACTCGACAAATCGGAGAAATAGGCCCACTTCGTGCCAGCGAGGAGGATTAATTCGCGGCTAAAGGGTGGCTGGAAGAAAGTCGGACGGAGAGTCTCTCTCTCTCCGGCTCGCTCGACGGACGTAAATTTATCACAACTTTATCTCGACCGGTGGAACGCTGGACGTTCGTTAATTTTCTACCGGCCGTTCCGAGCGGCTCCTCTCCCACCTGCGTTCACCATTCGGTTACGTTCAGGCCGTTTCTTTTTTCGTCGTGGTCGTCGTCGCCGTGGACAAGGGCCAGGTAAATCGAGCCGTGGAGAAGAGAAGAGGGCCCGTAGAGAACGTCGTTCCCTCGCTCGCGCGCGCGCGCGCTCGCGCCCCCGGTTTGGATTTCAAATAATTGCCAATTTGACTTTACGACGTCGTCCAGCCATCTTTCAAGCCGCGACTGATTTACTGGAATTCTTCTGTCTATTCATTTGTCCGTACGATCACGCGTGGGACGATGAAAACGCGCGGCTCTACGATCATCGTTTCCTGAATCGACGATCCTTTCGGGAATCCCTTGAAAATCATCTCTCCACCGAAGTCGTCGTATCGTCCCCGCCAAGAGGGATCATAGTTCTTTTGTCTTCGGGGAATCGTTAGCGAATTCTACGTCTCGTTCCCTGACGATCCTCATTTCGAAGTCGCGGTAAGTAATACCGAGCGGCCCCTCCTCTTAATACATTCAGTCTACCGGCAGCGCGGCTGGTGACTTCAATGCCAGCGCAAGCGAGATTAAATCGCGGCGGGCAGTTAAGCGTACTTATTGCAAATTCCTCGTACGTTCGTTTTTAACCCGGCGTGCCCCCGCCGCTTTTAAAAATAGCATAACTTTCTTATTGCGATCGGCACTACCGGTTCTCGCGATCTTTTCTTCGGCGGGCTGTAATTGCCGCGCAACGATCGGAAAATTTATAGTTATTATGGTAAACGTATACCGGGAACAGATCTTAAGAAAGTCGGGGCTGAACTATAATGAAATCCCAATTTGTATTATTTTCGGAGAGTATCGCGGCGGGTACCGAATCGATGGAAATGTTTGTCGGCGCTGGTACGCGAAGAAACTGAAGAACGCGGGTTCGAGAAGAGGTTCCAAGAAAACGCGTGCTTAAAACTGTGGGCCCGAGGTAATACGGTGCAATCGAAGCTCTTACTCTTAGTCAATAAAATACGATTACTCAGAGGTCTACCTCGGTTACGCGTGATTATTCCAAAACCGATTCGATTAAGCTGTGTTCTTGTGAACGAACACTATCGCGGGCCGTTATGTGCTGGCAGTAAAAGTCGATGGTGCTTTACCGAAGTTACGATTAGGCTGTTTGTTCTTCTACGAACTGCGGAAAATTGGACGCGAATAGAAAATACATAAAAAATACTGGACCAAATGTTTTCTGCTAATCGATCGATGAAAAATTCCACCGTTCGTCGTACACGTGAGCACAAAATTCCTCGAAACTAAAATTAAACGTAGACAAATCGTATCGCAGATTTAACGAACCCTCGATTAATTAGAGATCCATTAAATGTGTCTGGTGTATATCTTGTCCGGGACGGTGTGAAACAAAAAACTCGCATGCCTCGGCCGAACAAAATGGCGAACGGCGACGGGTCGTTGGAAAAAGGCTCGCAAACAATTGACGGACGTCTCGCCCTGTCCATGGATATAAATTTAATTAAGATTAGGAATTCGGAGAAGCCGGACGGAGCAGGTTCCGATAACCAGTTCCTTTTTAATCCTCGTGTTGCATCTCGCCGGAGCGGAAACCCCGCGCGTTCCGTCGACTCTTAAATACTCCCGAGTTTTTTCTCATGGTACAAAGTTATCTCGTTAGTAATTTATGCGATAGTTAAAAGCGGCCGGGACGTGGAAACCGAGGGACGGAGCGAGGTGAAGGGAAAGAGAAAGAGAGGGAGAGAGAGACGACGGCGTTCATGAATAGGCAAACGATCGGAACGGGACCGAAAATCGAGACGGCGGAGGACGCGACGCTAGAGAGCTTTCCTTTCTTTTTTCCTCTCCCGGAGCCGCTATTATGCATCGTGACGAGAGGGAAATCGACTCGGATCTCCCATGACGCGTTAATTAAACGGAGCTCATTAATACGGATCGTGGAGAACCGGAGTCCCTCTTCTCAGAGGATTTCGTAGTTCGGGCTGAGAGGAGAGGCCGATACCTTAACCCGCGACGGCTCTTTTGTTTTTCCTGCTCGGCCACGCCGTTCGTACAGCTTCGCAGATCCTTCAGACTGCTGTTTCGACCTCCCTTTCTGGCTCGGCCGCCTTCTTAATCTTCCTTTAATTCCCTGGCTTTTCGTTTCTTTCGCTCCTTTTTCATCTCGGTTTCTTTCGTCCCTCCTTTTCGTCGTCGCCGTCGTGCTGTTCCTCTTCTGCTTCTTCCATCCACCTCCTCTCTTCTTCCTCGTCTTCTTTGTTGGCTCTCTCCTGCCCTCCTCCTCCTCCTCCTCCTCCTCTCCCCCTCCTTTTTTGTACTCTTTCGATCTTTCCCCCGTGGCCCCTCGCCAACGGGGCCCTCCTTTTCTTCGCCAGAGCTCGATCCACGGCGACGAGGATCCTCGTCGATAGATCTCTCCGGCTGTCTCGGCTCTCCGGGCCCGGCAGAAAGGATCGCGAAAAACTCGCCAGTCCATTAAACATCCTCGCGTCGCGTCCTCTTTCTCGGCCACCGACTGGCCGACCTATAGGCGCGTCGCGATATGTCGCTGGAATCCTTTTATCGATTTCCTAACAAGTCCCGGGTGGATCGGGAAAATAAAGTCGCCGCGGCCGGCTCGAGAAATCGTGGATCGACACCGGCGCGCCGGCGGAAAACGAGTTCTTCCCACGCGATTAACGCCGCCGTGAGACGGCGGGATCGACTTTCCCGGCTGGATCGCTGATTATTCTCACGCGTCCTATGCTAATTGCCGATTAGAATATCCGTGCGACGAATGCAATCGCGCCGGGCGTCGAGGTGCAAATTGATTCCTCGATCGGTGTTCGTCGCCGCAAAAACGACCACACGCTAGCTACTCGCCGATAATTTATCGATACTTCGATCGGGCTTTTTTGCAATTCGTTGCGCGAAGTCGTCGCCGACTCGATGTTTCGTTTCGCGAAAGGATTATTTCGTCGAGTACACCGAAAATGTACATCGCGATCTTTTAATAAAACGGATATTGAGAACCAGCGATTTTATTTTAACGGGTAAAATCAATTAGAAGATGTTTTTACGAATATTTTTAAAGCAACGAAGAAACAAGATCTTTTTAACACCGCGAATTATATTTAATAACGAAGTATATCTGGACTTTTGTCTATTAACGAAGTATACTTTACCAACGTTTTGTGGTTAATAACGAAATATACTGTCACGATTTATTTTCTTTAATAATAAACTAACTTTAGACAATTAACATTATCCAACATCAAAGTACACGTTGAAAATGTGTTTTATATAATAACAAAGAATATTTTAGCTACAACAACAAAACATACTATTAACCCCTTGCACTACGATTTTTTTCATCGTTTCGATTTCGAAGAGAAGAATTGCGTTCATATTTAGCAGATTATGCGCGAAATCACAGGCCTGACTCGTGGCCACAGCGCAAGGAGTGATTTTGTACCCGAAGATGTCTGCGCACAAAGATCCGCGGCCGAAAGCGAAGCGAAACCGGAGCTAATTAAAAACTCTCCCGAAAACGAGCAGGTCCACAAAAGAAGCCAGATTTACGACGAAACCCAGAATTCCCCTTAATTACCGTGGCGAGTGGTTCGCCACCAGACAAAGAGCCACAAATTTAATAGAGGACGCGCGATCTTTTTGTCGAAGCCCGCGCGGTCTCGGGCCTATCGATCACGGGCTCGAATACCTCCGCGTCCGGTCCCTCATCGATCACCCCAAAGATCGAGATCGAACCGTCCACGAGAAACAAGAATCCACGAGAGGAGTCAGCCAGCGAAAGAAGTTCGACTCACCAGTAGATTGACGGTGCCGGTGTGATCGTCCACCCAGGCGAGAAGAATATCAGCCCCCTTCATGTGGTTCTTCTCGTTGAAGCCGATGCCGACGTAGCCCAAGGTCTTCGCGGTGACCTTGAACGTGACCATCTCCTCGTCGGAGGGATCCCATTCAAGGACCACCTCGCCGTTGTCGTCCAGCTCCTCGTGCCTGGTGAACTTCGGCTCCTTGACGCTCCTCCTCGGCCTGTTGTCAACGGTTTCTTGAAGATCCAGGTACTTTCCGGTGCGAAAAAGCTTGGCCAACTTGGCGGTCGGTGGGATGTACTTCTTGGGCACCCTGTCCCTGGATTTCGGCGTCCCCTTCAGGATAGGATCGTCGAAGGCGCTGCTGAGAAGGACATCGGAGTCGATCACCTCGAACTGAGAGTTTCCCTCGACTTCGACGTCAGCCTGCAGGTCCTCCGTCTGCGTGGTCTCCTCCCGGAACTCGGCCATGGACTCCAGGTTCTGTCTGACCTCCGTCGAGCTGTCGTTGGACCTCGACGAGTCCTCGTTCGATAGCTCGATCTCGAAAGTGTCCAAAGTCTCGTTGCTCCTTAACGTGGTCTCTTCGGGGTCCACGCTGCCGACTCGACTGCGATTGCTCACCAGCTCGTGTTGGCCGACTTCCAGGTTCTCTTCCTGGGAATTAGGGAAGTCGAGGCCGTCTTCTCCGTAAGGCAGCTTCCTCTTCGCCTTCCACTGCGAGTACCAGTCCTCGTCGACGTCCAAGCGTTGCTTCTTGAAAGTACCTACTCGCAGCACCGGCTCTCGAAGGCTCCGCTTTATCCTGGAGGAGAGGTCCTTCGGGTGGTGTCTGTTCCTGTAGGCCAGGGTCCTCATGGTCTCGTCCATGTGCTGGACGTACAGGTCCAGCAGGTCGCAGCTGGCCGCCAAGCAGATGGCCAACGTCATCAACAGCCTCGGTATCAGCATCTTCGTCCTTTGCAGTCTGCTCCTTGATCCTTCATACGATCGCTGGATCACCGGTGATCCTCTGCTCCCCCGATCACCTCGAAGCCATCCAGGCTAGCAGTCCTTTCACTACGAACTTCAACTCTTCAAGGATATCTTCATAATCTTTGGACGGAATCACAAAAACGAACTTTACGTACGTGGACGAGTTAGGATGGTACTTTTGACATGGTTCCGCGACAATGAGGTAACCAACGTTGTTCACACGCGTTTTCTAACTCGACCGATTAGGGGACCGGCCCGGTTTCTGTTAGCAGATTCTAGTCACTGGATGCACAAGACTCCGCTGCGATTCCCTGACATGTTACGCGTACGACAGTTGTGCCGGGACTAATTTAAGCACGCGGCTGCCGTTCCGTTGCCCCTGCAGATGCTTGCAGCTGCTTACCTGCGCAGGGCCCCGAGAAGGGGGCCGGCGCAGTCACGGCTCTGCTCTTTTCGGTGCCCCTCCATTAACGTTCCGGGCCCCGAGCGACAACTCGGAGATTTTGCAGGACGCTATACAATTTATTGATTCCCTGCTAGAACAGTCCCCTGCGAAAAAGATAACATTAAGATGATATGCGACCAATTTTGACCTCTGATCGACAGCTTGAATTTTTCTGGAAAGAAATCGGCCGGGTCCCAGGCGGGGCTGGGGAAAGATAACTTGTCGAAATGGTAAATAGGCTACAAATATTTTTATCTAGTTTATCAAATAAACTATTTTTGAAGCCAGGTAGCATTGAATGAAAAATAGCTTTTATAGTTTCATTATCCCCATAAAAAGGTATAACGACCAAGAAACTTTGGAGCTTCTAAAATCCACGTACTTTTATGGATTGACAAAAGAAATGATCGTATACGGAAAATATCACCCCCCAAAAATGCCGGCGATATCGAAGTCATCGAACGCTATCTCCTGCTGGAGATACTCTTATTTGTCGTAACCGTATAAAATCGATTAGAAAACGAACATTCAACGTCGTGCCCCTGTTTATTAAGAACCCGTAGATCGCAAGAACCGCGGGTACCAATTGTGAATTGAAATGATGGGAAGCGGAGCGTTTAAGGCCCATAACACCCGTCCAGCCAGAGGCGCAGGATTTCGAGAGGCATTTAACGATATTGGAAAACCGGAGCGCAGTTACAGTAGACCGCTGAACGTGCAATTTGCAGCTTAGACCGATGCTGATTATGCGTTTCCACGCCGGGTTCCGAGTAGCAGCGCGAGCCCGACAAACGGGAGAGTCTTTTGTAGGGAACGAGCATCCGAAAGGAAGAGGAAATCGTCACACCGTCTGAACAGCTCGTCTCCTCTTATTACTGTCGCTCCGAGGCCTGTTCTATTCTACTAGACAATTTGTCGGGGGGGAAAAAAACCATGCCACAGTCTGTACACAATAGGTGATCATCGCTTCGGTTTTTTCGACTCTCGAAGAATACACCGAGATTAATGGAAGCAACAGCTTCTTCCATTTACAGGCTCGACGCTCGTTAGACCCCGTGGCCCGCGAAACCGTCGCGAGAAGATAATGTAATTGTTGGCCGTGTTTTGCGTACATCGAACAATCGGTCTTTATTTTTTATAACGATTCGAGGCTTGGCTTCCCGGGAAGGAAGCCGATTTCTTTTCGAATCGGGAGGAAACGGAAAGATCGCGAAGGAAAGACCCGGTGCTGCTTCCTGCGGAAGCCTTTTTTCTGAAACCGGAGACGCATTTATCAGAAGCGGCAGTGGTGGTGGTGGTGGTGGTGGTGGTGTTCCAGAAAGAAACGAGGGGCTGCGAAAACAACTGCGGCAGATGTGAACTCTTGGCACGCGCCCTTCTGTTCGCAGTGGCTCTCATCCTGTTTCCCTTCGACCACGAAACGATCCTCTCGAAATTCCATCTAATACCAGACTCGGAAATGTTTCGAATATTCTCCCGGAATTACGAGGAAACAGTACGACGAATTATGCGCATTGTTCCCGTTTAGATTAACTCTCGAACAGATCGTTCTAAACTGAAGATGCGGATCGAAGGGACGCGCATACATTGCGAATGGCTTTCTCGAATATTCTGGTCCCTCGATATCGTTTATACAAATGAAGCATCGCCAAACGATCGCGTAAATGTTTAACACGTTGGCTCCACTCGTTTTAACTCTAATTTTAACTTAAGGTGTTCTATCTTTTTTTCTAATATCGAACAAATATTTAACAACCGTTAGGTCTCGAGAAATAGGTTGGAAGCCATCGTCGCTGATCGCAGGCATCGCATGCGATCGTTTCCGACCCCGGAGAGGATTCTGCTTGAAATCCTTCGAATATCGTTCGCCCTACAGCCGCGTTAAACGCATTATTATTCCTAAGCGTCCGCACGCGCGCTCGGAAGCCAACTGTATCGAGTTACTTCCTGTGACTGGCATCGAAACACTATACCCTGTCGAGGAAGGGTTACCGATCCTCGTTCCTTCCCGACAGGATTCAACGTGCATCGATACGAAATCTGCGAACTGTCGCAGCCGGCAGATATTGACATCGTAACGGCGCGCGCCGGGCAAAGCAAACACACGTTCGCCAATGTTGACAAGGTGATCGCCAGGTGCAACTCTGCACAAGGAGGAATCCGTTTAGTTCGAACTGGCAGAAATCGTTTGCCTGCTGACTCGATAAGTCGTAAATCGGGCGATCATCGACGGCCGCGTCGCGCCATCGAGTTAATCAGCCTTCGGAATCGGTTCCGCTGCACGGGTTTCACGCTTCCCTCTGACCCTGTTTGTCGCAGGAACGTATTAAACAGGAAATCGGGTTTCCCAGAAGTTTCGTCGGCCAGGTATCGAGCATTGTCGAACCTGGAGGATTCTTTTATGCGAACAGATACGCGCGCGTACACGCAACCGTCGCTCGAACCCAGCCGACCATGTTCCTTGCATTATTTCTTTGTCCGCAGGAATTCGAGGATCGATCGGGATTCATGGGACTCTTTCGCTACGAGGATATACATATTCTGAATTCCTCGAAGCGAATGCCTGCGAACGGCTACGCGCGGACGCGGTCCTCTAAACTGCTCGGACTGGCAACGAGATTTGCGAACCGACTCGGATATCGTCATTGGATTCGACGTGACATTCTTCTGTTCAGATTTATTTTCTTCGTTTCGTGTTCCTAAAAATTTCTCCGTAAAATTCTGTACACTGTTCTCTATTTTTAATCCTTCGCAGCTACGTTGATTAGCAGTTCCTCGTCCTTAACGCTTCATCCATCGGCAGATCTCCGCGACGATCGATCGAAGCCTAGCTAGACAAGGCGAATAAACGGTCGTCGACCGTGTAGCCAGCAGTTTTCGGTGTATGTTCGAGGCCGAAACGCACAGATGTTCGGCTCATCTGCCCTCTAGGACGGCTAGGACGCGCCTAGGCGGTAAAATGAACGTTCCCGACCGGTTAACTTGTCGCATCTGCCAATCGGCCGGCGAAACTCGAAGAGACAGATGGTGTGGACGCAAAGGAAAGTTACTTAAGCAGGTGTAGCCGAGCACGCGACAGGTGAACGCCGCGAGTCTCCTCAGCCGCCGATACTTTTAAAATCGAAAATAAACCGGTGACCGAGGGGGGGAGAAAAGGGGCTGGGAATCAAGCTGGACGACGTCTATCGGCGACGATAACTGTAAAACGTTTCTAAATCGTTCGCATCGAATCCCAATCGGAATACGAACGAGCTCGGAATCCGGGATGGATTGGTTCCACGGTCTTTGTACAGGCGTCGAGTTCGTGCTTGCGATAAAAATGACCCGGCGCGTTCGCTTCTTATGTCGCGCGCATATCGCGAGGCTTCGGTTTTTCCCAGGATGACGAGATTTCCGAGCCGATACCGTCGCTCCTCTGGTAAATAACCCACGCAGAGGACGACGAATAATTTCGCCAGCGGAATACTAAATGCCGCTTGATGTTCTCCAGCCTGACTCCTCGAGGAGCTCTTTGGGTTCTTCGCGGTGGACGCTGCTGGCACCGATCGACCATTTTGGTCTCATTCGAATCGAATCCGATGTATCTGTTCCATCGTTTCACTTACAATTGCTCCAGAATGTCGAACATTACGTTGGAAAATGGTGAACCTTTTCTTTTCTATACCGTTGGAAATCAGAGACTCGGTGTACGGAGGCTTTTCGGAGTCGCCGCATATCGGTCGTTTTTATGGTCTCATTGTAGATTGCGTTTCGATTGACTCGGAAGCTGAACAAGAATATTTTTGAATTGCATTCATTTAATTGCCTGGAACAATATTTCCAGATCTGCATTGACCGAATGGCTCCGAACTTGTTGGGGACTTTCGGTACACCTGCCGCTGCAACCGGTACCGCGATCGTGGCGAAATCATTTTTTTAATCGAGTTCGTGGCCCTCGAGAGATTAAAACTGGATGAATCGTCGATACCTCTAAATGCTATTTAATTACTTTTATCGTCGTAAAGAACAAGAGACTTGTAAACTGGATACTTATTTTACCAACATATTGAATTGTTTACAACGATCTCGATTTTGGTTTTTGCTCTGTCTAAAAATTTGTGGATCTAGCAGAAGTATACATTGAAACTTACACAGAGATCTGATAATAAATTTATGGTTTTCTAGTAAAAAAATTCCAAAGACAGCCAAATAAATGTATCATGTTCTAAGCTGGATCAATTAATGAAGTTGTTAATAACTGTGTTATATATATGGAAAAGGAGCTTAATAATCTTCTTTTAAATTATGATTCCGAAAGAGAGAGAGAGAGAGAGAGAGAGAGAGAGAGATGATTACGGTAAAAAATATCACTTATTTCTTGGGGACTAAAATTATTACCGTCACCAAAAGATATTATTAACAGCGGTTGGTTAGTCTCTACATTTTAAATTTCATTCAAAACCGGAAGTGAACTACCGCCGGAAGCGGATCAAGTGGATAATAAAGAAATCTACGTGATCACAGTTAAGAAATGGAGATTCCTTTCTAGCCAGTATAGTTCGCGTCCAAAAATGATACGTTGGTGGCAGCACAAGCAAAGCGACAATAAATTGGCTTTGCGTTTGTAAACGAAAGCTGTTGCATCGTGTATTTCGTTAGGAAATAAAATCGAAGAGGAACACGCGATAGATGTTCCTGTAGCACAAACGTCCAAATTTAGCGCTACAGCTATTAACGTTTGAGCGGCATCGCTAGTCATGGTTCGGAGTAGTGACAAGTAAGTGAAGAACCGATGTTCACGATTTTTTTTTTGAGGTTAACTGCATTCGGTGTGCGATCAAGTATACATAAAAAATTCGATTGTTTTTCTACATATAGAATTAAATATATTTTAATTGTTCCATATACCTTTCGTTTTCTCTGCGAAATTATACCATTCTTCTGTTGCACCGTTTTCCAGGGACAGGCATCACAGACGACGGTCGAGATCGAGATCGAGATCTCGGTCGGCCACACCGGAAAAGAAACGGCGACGGTCTAGGAGCAGAGATAGAGACAGGGATCGAGACAAGGGACGACATCGGGAAAGAAGAAGTCGATCTAGGGACAGGGACAGGGACAGGGGCGACAGAAGGGAACGCTCTGAAAGAGACAGGGATCGCGACAGGAAACGGTATATTATAATTAGTCTTCTTCAACATATTAAAAAATTTTACCATGCGATTTGGTCCATTTACCAATTTAGTAACTTGCTTCGAATGTCTCTGGCGATACAATTTTAGCGAAAGTTACTCACAGTTGCCGTAACACTGGTTCTTTTAAGTTTTCCTTTGAGATACTTATATTAATGGAATAATCAGTTAACATTTATTGATTGTTCTCGGTATACTAGTGGAGACAGTAAAGAAAAGCGTCTTACAGGCTCAAAGTCTTCACGTTCAGGCAAAGATCGCTCGAACAGATCTCGATCCAGAGAGCGCAAGGAGAAGGAGAAGGGTGACAGTGATGAGTTGCCGTTTGATCACACTAAATTGGACAAGGTAATTAGTTCTTGGTTTCTTCTAGCTCTGTTCTCTGGTTAGTTAATATTTCATTTGTTTTTGCTCTTTGTTGCAGGAGGAAGAACAGAAAAGATTGGAATTGGAAATGCAAAAGAGAAGAGAAAGAATAGAAAGGTGGAGAGCAGAAAGGAAAAAGAAAGAGCTGGAAGCCACAAAGAAAGACGGTAAGGCATCCATTTTAGCAAATCTTCAGCTGCCTATGAAAAAATGGTCCCTCGAAGACGATAGTGACGAAGAGACTCCCGTTGTTCAGAACAGCAACAAGGAAGTTAAAGAAGAAGGAGACGCGAAAGAGGAAATCGAGGAAGTTAAGGAAGAAGCTAAGGATGACGAGGAGGAAGTTGATCCCCTGGACGCCTTCATGGCAGAGGTATATTTAATTTCTATCGTTTAATTCATTATTGTACCAACTATTACATATAATCAATCGAAAACAATTTCGAATAGGTTCAAGAAGAAGTTCGGAAGGTGAACAAACTGGACAATAAAGGCGCAAAGAGTGCGAACAACGGAACAGGCACCGGAGGCACTCAGAGTGGAGGCGTAGTCATAGTAACTGGTGTGGCCAAAAAGAAGGTGCAGAAACAGAAAGGCGAATTGATTGAACAGAATCAAGATGGTTTGGAATATTCCAGTGAAGAAGAAGGAGAGAATTTGCACGAGACGGCCGCCGGAATCGCGAACAAGCAGAAAAGGGAGCTAGCTAAAGTCGATCATGCGACGACCGAGTACCAACCATTTAGAAAATCATTTTACGTCGAAGTACCTGAGATAGGTATGTCTTCTAAATTTCAACGTGATCACCATGTCTTTACTTAAATTTTTCATGTTTGTAGCGAGAATGACGCCGGAAGAAGTGGAAGCGTATAAGGAGGAGCTAGAGGGCATCCGCGTGAAAGGAAAGGGTTGTCCGAAACCTATTAAATCCTGGGCACAGTGTGGCGTGACGAAGAAGGAGCTGGAAGTGCTGAAGAAGCTGGGCTATGAAAAGCCAACACCAATTCAGTGCCAAGCTATACCTGCGATTATGTCTGGCCGCGATTTGATAGGTATAGCGAAGACTGGGAGCGGGAAGACATTAGCTTTTCTACTACCAATGTTTAGACACATTCTTGACCAACCCCCGCTGGCAGACGGCGATGGTCCAATCGCGTTGATCATGACTCCCACTAGGGAACTGTGCATGCAGATCGGCAGAGATTCGAAGAAATTCACCAAGTCTTTAGGCTTATCCCATGTCTGCGTCTATGGTGGAACCGGGATATCCGAGCAAATAGCGGAGCTGAAGAGGGGTGCAGAAATAATTGTCTGCACACCCGGTAGAATGATTGATATGCTCGCAGCGAACAGTGGCAGGGTAACGAACTTGCGTAGAGTGACTTACGTAGTACTTGACGAGGCTGACAGGATGTTCGACATGGGTTTTGAGCCGCAGGTGATGAGAATCATGGAGAACGTTCGACCGGATCGTCAAACTGTTCTCTTCAGCGCAACATTCCCTAGACAGATGGAAGCTCTGGCTAGAAGGATTCTTACCAGACCCGTAGAAGTTCAAGTTGGAGGTCGGTCCATCGTCTGCAAGGATGTTGAGCAACACGTAGTTGTTTTGGAAGAGGATCAGAAGTTCTACAAACTGCTGGAGATTCTAGGACACTACCAGGATAAGGGTTCCACTATAATATTCGTGGATAAACAGGAAAATGCAGATACTCTTCTGAAAGACCTCATGAAAGCTTCCTACTCTTGCATGTCTCTTCACGGTGGAATCGATCAATGCGATAGAGATTCGACGATATTGGATTTCAAGGCTGGTAGAACGAAACTGTTGGTTGCTACTTCCGTCGCTGCGAGGGGTTTAGACGTAAAGCATCTTGTTCTCGTGGTAAACTATGATTGTCCCAATCATTATGAGGATTATGTGCACAGATGTGGGAGGACAGGAAGAGCTGGCAACAAGGGGTGAGTTTTTATTCAAGGCACACAATCTCCGATATTGACATTACAAAACTAAGAGACTCTTCCTTGCAGATATGCCTACACGTTCATCACGCCAGAACAAGAACGTTACGCCGGCGACATTTTACGTGCCCACGAATTGGCTGGTGTTCCTGTACCAGAACCGTTGCGCCAACTCTGGGAAGGTTACAAGGCCAGACAAGCTGCTGACGGCAAGAAGGTGCACACAGGAGGCGGTTTCAGTGGCAAAGGCTTTAAGTTCGACGAATCGGAAGCGGCGTTAGCAAACGAAAAGAAGAAGTTCCAGAAGGCAGCGTTAGGTTTGCAGGACTCTGACGACGAGGATATAGAAAATGATATAGACCAGCAGATTGAGAGCATGTTGGCACCGAAGAGAACCGTGAGGGAGATCGCTAGGCCGTCTGCTACCAACATCGCTGTCCCTGGTCAGCCAGTGCCTAGTGCAACTGACAAATTGGAACTAGCCAGACGATTGGCGTCCAAGATCAACATAGCCAAGAACTTGGGTGCTGAAGCGAAGGGTGCGACTCAACAAGCTGCCGAGGCTATTCTGAAGGGAGCTGGGCCTACAAACCTTATTACAGCAAAGACGGTCGCGGAGCAGTTGGCAGCCAAGCTGAACACCAAGTTGAACTATCAGCCTAGAGAAGAGGACCTTGTGGAGAGCGACGCGGAGGCTGGCGAACAGACCTTCCGGAAGTACGAGGAGGAACTAGAGATCAATGATTTCCCGCAGCAGGCTAGGTGGCGAGTGACCAGCAAGGAGGCTCTGGCGCAGATCTCAGAATATTCTGAGGCTGGTCTGACGGTTAGGGGAACGTATATAGCCCCCGGCAAGGCTCCGCCGGAAGGAGAGCGAAAACTATATCTTGCTATAGAGTCCACTAGTGAATTAGCCGTCAGCAAGGCCAAGGCTGAGGTCTCGCGGCTTATCAAGGAAGAATTGATCAAGCTACAGGCATCGGGCGCCCACACCGGCTCCCGTGGTCGATACAAAGTGTTGTAAAGAACCATCCCTCGCTGTACATGCTAACATTACGCACTACAGTACTATGAATTCACTGGACTGCGTACGAGTAAAATTAGAAATTTATTATTAAACTTATAAATGACTACACAAACACTTTGTATTTAACGGTACAATAACGAAGTATACTTAACAATTACGGAAGATATCGATCCTGTCAATAATTTTTCTGTGAGCGATCCGAGTCTGCGAAGTTCACGATTCTTTAGCCTCGGATCGAGCGCGGTTCGCCGATAGTACAGTGCGCGTTCGATAAATAGCCGTCGACTGCTTCCGAAATGGGTTCGATCGAATAACCGCGATGGTTAGAACTAGCTCGTAACACAGTGATAATTATTTTACAGGTAGATGAGCTTTGAATATTTTAGCACTGTTAGGACATTTCCATACCATGAAGCAAACAATTTTGTAACTGTTCAAGTAGGAATACTTATCGAATGCTCACTGTATTTCGAACCGCGTTGCTTGTAACGTTCGCCGGTGTATTTTCTATCGACTATCTGCGAAGAATACAGCGGGAGGCTCGGCGGGCACGTTGTTTGGTAACTTAAGTTAGGAGACTTTATTTACAACCCGCATGGCCGCCCACGCTTTTCAGGCGGCCATCCTTTTGTACACGTTCCACCTGCTCCCATTTCTTTGGCAATATTAAAAGATCGATGAAAATACAACTATATACTTTTCTGTATATTAACGTAGGCACTAGAAGAATCACAGTCATGAAATCGGGCGTAGTCGCTGACACGACTATGCCTGTAGGTAAACGAAATGCTTAGCACCTTTGAAGATCGAGGAGATTCTGATCACGGTGTCAATGTTTTTTGTTATCTCCACCGTGATCATTTTCTTTCTCTCTCTCTCTCTCTCTCTCTCTCTCTCTCTCTCTCTCTCTCTCTCTCTCTCTCTNAAGAAGTTCCAGAAGGCAGCGTTAGGTTTGCAGGACTCTGACGACGAGGATATAGAAAATGATATAGACCAGCAGATTGAGAGCATGTTGGCACCGAAGAGAACCGTGAGGGAGATCGCTAGGCCGTCTGCTACCAACATCGCTGTCCCTGGTCAGCCAGTGCCTAGTGCAACTGACAAATTGGAACTAGCCAGACGATTGGCGTCCAAGATCAACATAGCCAAGAACTTGGGTGCTGAAGCGAAGGGTGCGACTCAACAAGCTGCCGAGGCTATTCTGAAGGGAGCTGGGCCTACAAACCTTATTACAGCAAAGACGGTCGCGGAGCAGTTGGCAGCCAAGCTGAACACCAAGTTGAACTATCAGCCTAGAGAAGAGGACCTTGTGGAGAGCGACGCGGAGGCTGGCGAACAGACCTTCCGGAAGTACGAGGAGGAACTAGAGATCAATGATTTCCCGCAGCAGGCTAGGTGGCGAGTGACCAGCAAGGAGGCTCTGGCGCAGATCTCAGAATATTCTGAGGCTGGTCTGACGGTTAGGGGAACGTATATAGCCCCCGGCAAGGCTCCGCCGGAAGGAGAGCGAAAACTATATCTTGCTATAGAGTCCACTAGTGAATTAGCCGTCAGCAAGGCCAAGGCTGAGGTCTCGCGGCTTATCAAGGAAGAATTGATCAAGCTACAGGCATCGGGCGCCCACACCGGCTCCCGTGGTCGATACAAAGTGTTGTAAAGAACCATCCCTCGCTGTACATGCTAACATTACGCACTACAGTACTATGAATTCACTGGACTGCGTACGAGTAAAATTAGAAATTTATTATTAAACTTATAAATGACTACACAAACACTTTGTATTTAACGGTACAATAACGAAGTATACTTAACAATTACGGAAGATATCGATCCTGTCAATAATTTTTCTGTGAGCGATCCGAGTCTGCGAAGTTCACGATTCTTTAGCCTCGGATCGAGCGCGGTTCGCCGATAGTACAGTGCGCGTTCGATAAATAGCCGTCGACTGCTTCCGAAATGGGTTCGATCGAATAACCGCGATGGTTAGAACTAGCTCGTAACACAGTGATAATTATTTTACAGGTAGATGAGCTTTGAATATTTTAGCACTGTTAGGACATTTCCATACCATGAAGCAAACAATTTTGTAACTGTTCAAGTAGGAATACTTATCGAATGCTCACTGTATTTCGAACCGCGTTGCTTGTAACGTTCGCCGGTGTATTTTCTATCGACTATCTGCGAAGAATACAGCGGGAGGCTCGGCGGGCACGTTGTTTGGTAACTTAAGTTAGGAGACTTTATTTACAACCCGCATGGCCGCCCACGCTTTTCAGGCGGCCATCCTTTTGTACACGTTCCACCTGCTCCCATTTCTTTGGCAATATTAAAAGATCGATGAAAATACAACTATATACTTTTCTGTATATTAACGTAGGCACTAGAAGAATCACAGTCATGAAATCGGGCGTAGTCGCTGACACGACTATGCCTGTAGGTAAACGAAATGCTTAGCACCTTTGAAGATCGAGGAGATTCTGATCACGGTGTCAATGTTTTTTGTTATCTCCACCGTGATCATTTTCTTTCTCTCTCTCTCTCTCTCTCTCTCTCTCTCTCTCTCTCTCTATTTCAGCTCTCACGAAGCGACAATATGGACGATTATGCCAAATATAAGGCTCGTGAGACATCCTCCGACAGCAATGGCACCGGATATGTAACTATGAGCAATTTCCGCTCTCGTGAGAGCGCCCAAGGGCACCTCGGCCGCGATCCTAGGGCTCCTCTCCAATATTCTGGTAACTAATTTCTCAGTCTCTGTTACGCAGGCCCGTAGCTGCAGAATCGAAGGCCTCTTAGACGTGGGCTGCACGATGATGAATATGTCCCTGTCCGGAGTCATCATCCCCCTAAGCGCGCACTGCGCGACCTGGATTTGTCTCCCCAGAGCGGTCAGCAAAGCCTCCAAAGTGACGGAGTCCTTGTCCTCATCCTCGTCCATTATAAAATATATTCTGTCGACCTAGAGCAAGAAAATAAAACATTTGTACCACAAAAGAGCTTACGGATGATCTAAGTAATAGTCACAGGGACAATTTTTTATCCATTCTTCCTGAAAAGAGACACAATTCCAAACATAGATATTGTTTTAGGATTCGCTAGCTTTTAAGGAGGAGGAACATACTTGTTTCTTGGAATAGAACAGTTTAGCAGCTCCTCCACAGACAGGGCAACAAGCTCCAGGCGGTGTGACCCCGACGCAGTAGGGTTCGATCAGCTTAGGACACTGGACAAGTTCGCCGCAACGTGGTTTTGCATGATCCCCGATTAATCCGACAGCCATGCAAGATCCAAAATAGTCCACCACCGTCCTCTCCGCCCAGGCAGCGCATTCGTTCGTATAAACCTCGCCGTTCACCCCGCAGACGGGTCCTCTCAAGGAACACCCCTCCAGACACTGTCCTCTGTACCCCAAAGTAGCTCCAGCACGGATCATAGCGCACACCGAATGATGCTGACGGTTCTCCTTGTCGCAAACTGGCCCACTGTACTCGTCCCTAGGGTCGCAATCAAGAGGCACGCAGTCATACTGACGACAGGGTTTGTGAAGTTTAGACAAGCACACCCTGGTCCTGCGGACGCACTTTTCTGTGCTGTCGCAGACATTCGAGGCGCAAGGGTCCCTAGAAGAGCAGCTCCCGAATTCTACTTCGTTTGGAGACAGATCTGCGCATTTGGCTAGGCAACCAGAAGCGAAGGTGAAACCTAGCCTTCCGCAGACTGGAACATAATGAGCCGGGCAGTCGCAAGGCAATGAAGGGACTCGCACCTCCCCGCAGCTCCTCTTTGAGCATGTGAACTCGCCTTCGAAGCAGTGACAAGGATTGCACTCTAGATAGAAGTTGGTTTTGTGAGCGATGAAGCGGTCGTGGACCCAGCAGTTGTTGAATTTGATGCAGTTCAGGGTCCTGCACTTCTCCAGGCCTCGAAAAGTACATTGGCAAATCCTGAGGCAACCTTGTTGATCGTATCGAGGAATGATCCCCCATGACCCAGTTGGAACTAGTTGCTTGGACATCTCTCCTAGAGAACACCCTGGCACACAGCGGTAAATCTGTCTCCCATGAGGCAACAGCTCACAGATCTCTCCTTGAGCACAGGGGTTGCTCTTGCACGGAGTCATGATGTCTTCCTCCAAACTGATGACGGACTCGTTATCTTGAGGGTCGTCCAAGAACGGCCTCAGGGAGACGCAAGGAGCATCGGATCTGAGAGGAGACAGCTTCGAACACAATGTATTGGCAGTGTGAGTCCCTGTGAAGGCCGACCAGTCCACACAGCTAGCCATTAACTCCAGACAATCCTCTCTGCACAACCTGGTCTCGTGAATCCTACTTTCGCATGGTCTCAGCTGCAGCAGACATGCCGCTGCACGCAGGGTTTCTGGTGGACAAGAGGCTGCAGCGCGCACTTGCACCCCCAGACCCCTAACTATTCCTCCCCTGGACCAGTGATCCGCTTCCCACTTTGCTGCCTCATCAGCCGATGCTGAACAAGTCCTGAAAGAAAGTGAAAAGTATGGGACAGTTACAACAGAGCCATTGCATATTTCTATGTACAGTATATACATTATAACGTCATAAATTCTTCAGGCTTCACTTTTGGACGCGTATAGGAAATCCCATTTTAAGAATAGAAAGCAAACAGCCGCCAGACTTGGGCCAGTTCCAAAACGCGACCGACTATTTACCTAAAGAGCGTCGTCGACCGGTCGTTAAATCTGGCGCAATAGGACAGCCCGGAGCAGCCCATCTCACAGGGTTCCTCAGCGTCCTCCAGACACCTTCTCAGCTCGCCCTCCAAGTTCGACGACAAACATTCTGCATACAGTTGAACCCAAGCGGACTCCCAGTCGGCCTGGAATGCCCTCCAACATAAATTTTGACAGGACGTCTTGGTCGCCTTCGTGCAACACGATAATTTCCCCGCGTCCAATGGCAATCTAGTCGGTTTCGAGGATCCGGACTTCAGCAGGCAGCTCCAAAATGGCGACTGAGGCAGCACTGGATTACAATTCTCCGTCAGCGCGTCCATGATCTCTTGATCCGTCGTTGCGGTCTGGAAGATCCTCTTGCAAGTTTCCAGGCAAGCTGGAGTGGTAGCCTCGTTGCAGCAATGAAGATCTGATGGGAACGAAGATATTAAAATTCTGGATGAAAGGATACTACGAATAGTTTCCTCAAAAAAGAATTCAGCCCAATATTCACTTACGTTGTTTAGGATCCTCGGCATGTTTCACCTCAGCGACGCTCTTCAAACACTTGGGAACCTGATGAAAGCAGCCCTTGCTACTGTACAGCTTCAGATTCGAGATCTTCCCGGGTTGGTAAAACAGATCACGACAGATAGACCTGCAGGTTTCGTTGGAAACGGTGGTGCAGCAATGCTCTGCTTCCTCGCGCCTTTCCAAGCAAGAGAAGAACTCGGGTTCGTCGCTGGGACGACAGGACTTATTCAGATACCTTCTGGACCCTGAGACAGCACAGGTAGATCTGCAAATGGGGTTCAGCGCTAGATAACAGCAACCCCTTCCTGTCCAGTTGCCATGGTTCCTGACATCTGCAAGCATCGGGATCATTCAAAATTCTGTCCTTCAGAAAGATTTAGGAGAGAATCGAACTGGCCAGGTTCTCACCGTTCAGAGTCGAGTTGACGCAGCTCCAGAACACCATCTGAAAAGGGAGGACGACAGAGTTAAAAGCGAGAAATAACCGGATAAAAAGTGAAAACCGAGTCGGATCGCAAGAATAGGGTATCGCCAAGAGTCTCTCGTAACGCGAACTAGCGGCACCCGGTCCTTTTTACAAGCGGATCTATTGTCCCGGAGGTCGAACACGGATTAAAGGGATCGATTAGAGGTCGCTTACCAGCTCGGGAGAGCAGAACTCCAGCAGGTGTCGTGTCGCGTTCTCCCTCGCCATCGCGTCGGCACCCAGCGCAACCAGAGAGATCTGAAAGGAATGCGTAACTTTTTACTTCGATTTTTAACCGACACCTTCATCATTCAAGTGCCAAATGATTCATGGAAGAAATGGGAAAAATGGTCCCAAGTACATGGATAAAAAGATACGTCGCAGCTGTGGATCTCCGATGGGAATTTCTACGATTCCGAATGCTATCTGCAACGCGTTTCCAAGTTATTAAGAATCAAGGACACAGGTACGCCACCGGTCAGCCACGGTTTCCTGTTGTTCATCACTGAATGACAATAGACCGTGCGGATATCGACTGGCCGGGCCATTTAGGCGCTCATTCCCGATTCAATCAGCGTCCGCAGCGAGGACGGACCTGGACATTTCGTACTCCCGTCACGGCCGCGAGTTACGATCGTCCTATTGGTCCCTATGCGGTGGGTTCTGTTAGATCCTCGTGCCTGGGTCAACGTATAGTTGTTTTTCAAGATCGAAGCGGACCTCGTTCTTCGGTGCTCGGGAAAATTGCGCTGGTCGCGTCGATGTTAATGATAATCCAGATCTAACGGTTTATTACTCTTAAGTTTCCCTACGTACAGCTGCTATTTTGGTAAAACGCATTTTCCTTCAGCATCGATGATAATCACGCCCCTAAAAATCAATGTTACAAACGATTTTTATATTTTAGCTGCACAGATCGCTGCTACTGACTGTCGACCACGAAAATAAATTAACTAGGTCCGGATAAGAAACGAGTTAGGATTTCAAAAATGACCAAATCGAAGGTCTTACCCTCGGGCATGATTCAGGCATGACGCAGTGGCTGACTCAACGAACTCCAAACGTAAGGTGCAAATATTTACGCCGGGGGAAAAGATTATTCGACTGCCAGTCAGATATAAAGACAAGAATAGCGGTAGCGATCTCGAGCGTGTTGATAGCTTTAGTTAAGCTGTTGCAAACGTTTAAGGGCGTAAACGATAGCGTGCCGTGTAGACGACGCACGTATTTCCGTCGCGGTGTATTCTGGGAGGTATGCGCGGCCGGGCACCGTCGCCATTTTACAGGGGTGCGTTTTTCTCGCGCGAATTTCCCGCGATAAAAATATATTTTACAATCCACAGTCGACAACCGAAAACTTATTTTTAGAACAACGGTATGCTGTCCGAACGAAAATGTTCGACTTCGTTTGAAAGGTTCCTGGAACGTGTTAAGCGAAAATAATCCTGTCGGTAGGCCGAACGTTAAAAGAACTATGTTGTAAAATGTGGTTAAAATTTGAAGCTGACCGGTTCGATACTTTCTTTTCAATACTAGATCTATTAATCTTTAAATGTGGCCGACACGAGACTACAGAGGTACGGTCTATTCACGCTACTACAGCCGAAGAAGTCAATTTTCTGAAGTTGGTGAACCACTTGAAGCCTCAAGTGGCACTTCCGGTGGCTCCGCTTCATATTCAAGAAAGAGCGGAGCTCATCGGTAGTCGGTGCTGCGGGTTCCATCTTTCCCGAGCTGTTTCTACACCTCGAAGTCGTCGTACATCACATTCCAGTGGCGGAGCGGCGGCAGAGGACACATGAAATATTGGGTAAGGAGCATGTCTGCGTGGCTTCTTTCATGAATACCAAATGTACAGGGTGGTCCATATCGATAGCAGCTCGCCGATAACATTTGCGACGTTAAAAGGGGATGATACTGATGGGGACGATCAATTTGATCGTTCGCCGACCCCGCGGGGACCACCGTCTTTGAATAGAGAAATCCTTTAGAGAAAGAGAATGCCTAGCCGAATAATAGAACACGGTCGTCTAAAGGCGATTCGCCCTCGCGGCTACAAATTGCGGAGGAACACGATATCATTGATACCGTGTCCGTTTCTCGGAGTCGAGTGCGTCAATTCGTAATATTTGCGTATGAATGAGCCAACCGGGGGCCCCCCGGGGGGGGTCCTGCGTAAATCTCTCAGCGGGCCCCAGTGTCTCCGATATTATCTCCGATGGGGCCCTGCAGCCACTTTTAAAGAAGCTACAACCACGCGTGCACCCCACGTCGCTGCACCGTGGCCGAGGGCCTGTCGAAAAACCACCGTGTGCCTTCTCTCTCTCATCTCTTTCTCTCTCTCTCTTTCTCTTTCTCGTCCCCCTTTCTCTGATTTTACTCCTTTCCCTTTTTGTTTTTCTTTCCTCCGGCTGGTGTCCGCCGGCTCGCTCGTCCTTTCACCTTTTCCCTCTCGCTCCCCGTCCTCGTCCCTCGCGCAGTTTCCTTTTTATCCCCCGGGAGAGATCCTAATATATCCGTGGACACGGCATATTTTGTACCCTTTATCGTCCCCGGGGTCGGGCCACCGATATTTATCAGTCGCGCGATATCGCGCGCGCTCCTCGTCGCACCGGCGAAATGATATTCCCTCGAAATTGTCTTTTTGAAATTCCCACGGGGATCCTCGCGCGCGCGCGAGTATAATTAATAGATACACAGTAGAACGCCGGGTCTCGGTGACCAGACTCGATAAATCGCTAACAATATACGCTCAGCTATTCGACTGCGCGAACGGGATATATTTTCTTGTAATTAGATCCTCCCGAGGGCGACAGTCCCGGCGGAGATACAGCTTCGACGAAGATCGACGGTCTACGGTTGCATCCGATGCACTGTGGTCTAGCCATTTTACTCGATCCTTCGATTTATAATATATATTTTTGTCGACCAGGTAACGATCTTTTTTTTTAAGCACTGCTCGTCTTTTTAGAAATCTCAATTTTTATAGCTCGTTTAATTAGAGTATTTCTTATAAACAAGTTTTATTTTTGCGAAATATTTTTGTGTGAACTTTTTGAGAAATGTACGTAAGGTGATAAGTTTGATAAGTATACCACGGGATTTGAATGAAGCGCGTAGCACACTGTTTCGAAAAAATGAAAACATAAAAATCGTAAATAATGAATATCCGACATAATAAATGGTTAATAAGTAGCCGTTAAGAATAATAAACACGAAAGAGTGTACACCGGAGCACGAGTCTGTATTCAATTTATGCTCGATCGCCTCCGAATCACTTAATTATGCTTTTCTTACGAGTACTATTATAACATCGCGTTTAATGGTCTCGAGGCGGCAAAAAGCAACGATAAATTGCGGCCTTGGGAAAGAGAAGATTGCTATCGCCGTCCTCACGATCAAGGACACAAAAATCTACGTCTCTATATTATAACTTCTGAACATTCCCGTATTCCAACACTATAACCGTTACTAAATTCCTATCATATCTTGCATTAGATCCAATCATGAATAATTTGCGTTCCTGCGAACAAGTTGTAATGCGCATTCGTCAACTTAATTACTGTAATTTTATGCATTTATGCAGTCCAATTTGCTACAAACGACTGTATCTAAATTTGAAATAGTTGGACGATTAAAAGAATTTATGAATACTGAAACGAAACAATTTGCATTCATCTGGTGCTGCATTCCGTCAATCTAGCGTTTAAAATTGCATGTGTTTCCAACGGAAACGAATTGTACGAATGTACTTTGAAACGGTAGAATGATCGAAACAAAATTTAAGGATATTAGAATGAAACAATTTGCGATTGATACAGGAAATCGTATTCGTGACACGACTTAATTCGTCTGGTTTCCCAACTATTGTTCACCACGTGTTTCTCAAACTATGAATCGGTGTTGTAGAATCGATGGGAAAGCATACCTGGGAGCAGACGCTGCGACAAGATCCGGCCGCCAAGGAACAGCATGACATCTCTGGAACAAATAAAACACAGATACAGTTTAGGTCCTTCGGAGCACGCGAAAACATATGGTGACTAGACTGCCGGTAGACAGGATGCAGATTGCGGCACAGGATCCTTTCTCCGCTTTTCTCTGGACAAGAAACAGACGCGTGTCCTGCGTTATGTCAGTTACGTGGAAGGAGAAAGGGCCCGCTTTTATGGTGGGCCGGATGAGGGTACGCGAGACACGTCAAAACTTAAGTACCCTCTGCAACCATGTTCCCAGCGTCTTCCCATCGACCATGAAATCGAACGGGAAAAATCGCTGAAATTCTCGGATCTTGTTGACCTCACATTGCGCACGTACAGAAATTATTACATTCATTCTCACAATTGACATTTCATTTTTTGCTCGTCAACTGTCGACACTAATTTCGACACGATTTTTAATCTACGGGAATCCGATTTGGTAAAACCAGAAATTGTAAAGTATTTCTGGCCTTGAACGTGACTGACTCGAAATCGTTTTCGCAGGTTACAACCATGCGACGAATTTTTGAACAGTTCACGAACTACGGATGTGGACATTCATATGGGGGACGAAGACAATCGGATTAAAGGTTGATGCACCTAATTCCGAATAATTAAGACGGACAAGGGTGTCGGCTCGACGAGAACTGGTCAGTGTCCCTCACGGACCCTTTTTCCTTACGTCGGCCTGGTTTTTTTCCATTCTTCGTACGTGGAAAATTACGTGTATTAAACGATAGCGCGATGGGAACGTAAACACGCGGTAGGATCGTACGTATCCGTTCGGGAGATCCTGCAGTAAGTGATCTTTTACGACTTCACGGGCGTAATATGCGGGTCCAGTCAAACTGGCTTTTGAACGGGGACCCGAATCGTGAATGCTGGGGCCACGATAAATGACCCACGGGGACTATAAGAGTGCGAGAGAACGCTGAGAGACAAGGGGAGCTGTTCGAAGCGTGTTACAATTAAGTTAATAGATACCAGTCAGACACAAATTGCGGCCGACTATGTTTCTCCGCGTGACTCGGTTCGTATATCGTGTACTTTCATCGCTCGGACTGCTGTCCCTCTCTCCGTCTTTCTCATTCTGTCTCTCTCTTTCTCTCTCTCTTTCTCCCTGTCATTCTACGGTGAATTTTTAATTGTACTTTAAACATAGCCGTTGAACGGGAACGCTCCCTTCCGCTTGTAACGTTTGCACAGTTGGTACAGGGGAGACACGATGCACCTTGAGTTTTCGGGAAATAGAAGCTGTTTGTTTGAATATATCGGTTTCAGCGTGAATCCCCGGAGGATATGATCTCCTAATGCTTCACTTAAAATACTTCGGGGCTATAATGTACGTAAATATTTGTGTTCTACGTACGCTTCCCTATTTTTCTTCAACGCTAAACCTACTGAGCTCTGAAAGTGATTTGCCCGTGCTATTTCGTAAGAATTACAAAGACTGAATTTATTTAGACCTTATGCGATTTTTATTATATGCAAGCTGAGAATATCGGGCATTGTCCGACGAAAACGATGATTATCCAGTGCAAAATCTTGTGGATTCTCGAGGTCGTGTTTCTTTTGTAATTTCTGCAGCGGAGCATGACCCATATCGTCGTTCCCATTATTAAAGGACCGGGCAACAGTTCCACAGCCGGTGGAATCGTGAAATTCGCCGCGGCAAGTCCGCCGTCTCAAAGCCTAGACTTCTCGTGCCGTCTCTCTCGCGGACGCCACAAAAATAGCCAGCGTCGTTTGCGGCCGTTCGACTTCCACCCCGCGATCTAAGTGGCGAAGTCCCCTTAATTTTATCCGTCGGGGAAAATGGAACGACCACGACCCGTCGACGTCGCTTTGAGCGCGGCATTAAAAGCGGTTCAAACGCTGCGAGCCGATTCTCGAACTCCGATTTAGAAGCGGCTTTGTCTAAAAGGAAAGTGGAGGCTATTAACTAAAATTTGGCACAAAGGAACTGCCTCCGCGAGGTTCCTCCTCTGTTCGGTACCGGGTTTCATAGAGATGTCGCGTTCTTTATTTAAATGCGCCATAACGCGCGACACCATGCTTTTATTGCGATCTGGGTGGGCAAAAATTCCGTAAGCATCTTTAACGATCTCACAGAGATCAAGCTATTGACAATAGACAGCGGATTTTTATGCGAATTGCCATTTTTATATATCATTTAATTTCAGTCTCATGTATTAGATGGACTGTAGATGTTACTTATTTATAATAGAAACGAGTAGGTGCAACTGAAAACAGCAGAAATACTGAAAGCATTCATCTCTCTCGAAGGATTTCTGTTTAGACGTAATAAATACTCTCTGTTGGTCGAACTGGTCTTTTTCTAACAATAAAATGGTAATTTTTCAGGGACTACGAGGATTGTTCGTGGATCGTCAATGAAGATTTCTTCGGGAACACCACGGAATGACGGGACATTCTCGATGCTGTGTGGGTGAGTAAGTACACGCGGTGCATCGTTGCATATAACAGAGCCGCAGCTCCATGCTGCGCAGGCGTGTCGCGCGCGAATGGTGACATCCATGTCGTTGCGCTCGTAAAACTCGCACGATTCTCCCACGTCTCGTGACAATAATCCGTGTACCATGTGGCAGATAAACCGGGAAGCTGGAAAAACTTCCACGAATTCGCGGACCGACCACGTGCGTCCGTCTGACTCGATTTGGAGCGAGCATGGGTTGCTCCATTCCGTCCGCAGTCGTTCGAAACGTGAAACGACTCTAGAAAAATTCGTGATTGCCGAGTTTCATTTCGGTGGACGATTAGATTATGTGAATCACAATGTGCAGAATATATTTTCTTGCGATGTACGGTATCGTTTGCAGTCTTGTCAGATACATACTTGCAATATGCACTTGTCGTCGCTCCATACGAAAACGGATAGCGAGTGTAAAACGGACAAGCAAAATACTTTGAAGAAGACATACAAAAATTATGTAACATTTTCGAAACAGCTCTTACGAATTGCTACAACGAGTATCCCATTTTTTTGAAGTAATAGCGACAACATGCTATAATTTGTTTGGTGTCCAGGATTTCATAAAATTAGCTTTCGAGGAAATGAACTGCGGCAAAACAGTCCGAACGATCTCCGCAGAATGCTTGAAATCAATTGATCAATTAGCGTCCGCGATCCGGGTGAACCTGCTGGCCTAATTAGCTCGTTCCCGGGACTCGTGGTGCACGTTTTTCTCGGGAGCAAGGATGCTCACGGCCGATACCTCGTTACATCACATTTATCGGCTCGGATCCGGCCAGGTTTCGTCAGACAAGGCTGCGGATAAGATCGGTCCAAGGAATTTTTCCGGTTACCGTAGTCCGCAGAAACGCGCGCGGTTAGCATAGGTTGATGAGACGGTAATTACAGTGTGCTGGACACAAAATACGCCCGAAGGAAGCGGTATACTGTATTACGCCTAATTAATACAGTCGTCAGGCTCGCGAGCAACCGTGCATCGAAGGACGATGCGTTTCACTGGGAATACGATCGAGACAGAGAAAGAGATAGATAGAGAGAACGAGAGAGAGAGAGAGAGAGAGAGAGAGAGAGAGAGAGAGAAAGACTGAAAAACAGAGCGAAAGAAGCGAAATCGTGGCATAGAAGGAGAAGAGGAGAGAGACGACGATTGTAGAACGTGTAAGAGATCCAAGAAGAGGGAGAGGGAGAGAAAAGATCAGAAGAAGGGAATCGAGATACGCGTCTCTCGACATGTTTTTATCCGGCGTGAAGCTGTCACGGGCTTTTATGTGTTTATTTATCTCTCCGCTCTCTCGACACGTCGTGAACATGTATCGAGAGGCCGAGTCTACACACGTCTACACGCGTATGGTGGACCGTGTCAGGGCCCTGCCGATTGGAAGCCGCGTTCTCCTTTAACCCCTTCGCTTGTCCCTTTTTTTCTCCTTCGATTCGCGACGACCGGTCCCGAGAAATCGGTCCCCGCAGGTCACCGATCCGTCCGGATCCGCCGTACATCATTTTGGAAACGCCACACTTCGACCCACGCACCACCCTTCAGACTGGACATTTTATTAGTGCGCACACTGGTTCAATGCCTTCGCTTTCCATCAATCGCGAGACATTTTTAAACTCAACCCCTTTGCGGACGAGGGCGAATAGTTTCCCCGAACTACTAAAATATTTATCGGAGACTTCAGTAATTGGAAAACTTAACGCTGTGGTCTGATCTTCTGTTCTACCATACACATACATAACCAGATTATGTGTTTGCAATTTCCGAAGGATTAATCGGCACTGTCCCAATTTGGGTTTTCAACCCGTTGAAACTAAATTTCCAAAAAATGTTGAGAAACATTGAACTAGTTGTATGCGGTTACTGTATGCATTATCGAACGTGTCGATACAACGTGATTCTCTAACACGAACGAGTTTTGTAAACTAGACACGGTAAGATCCGAAAGAGTTACGCAGCGTTGTCGAGGGTTCGAGCGAACTGGTCCATATTTCAATCACTCCCGAGAGCGCGTTTCGCGAGAAGAATTTATTAATTAATCGTTATTCGCGCTGTCACGGTGCAGAACCAGTCAGGACCCCTGGCTGGGGCAGCCCCGCCCATAAAAGACCGGCGAATAAACTTCCAGGGGCTTTAATTGTCGATCGACGTAATTATACCGTTGACGTCGCCGAGAGGTGCGTAACGCGGACTCGCATCGAACACGTGTTTCGAATTTCATTTACGCGGTCGTCGATACACGCGCCAGACCGGGGAACGCTTGTACAGGCTGTTCAACAGGTGGACGAGAATTTTAGACGCGATCACTGCTCTAGGCGCTTCAGAATGTTCGATGCGGACGCAGCTTATTCGCACTTCATTTCTACCTAACCAGGGACAGTGTCGCAGAGGGATGATGATGCTCGTGATCGAGCGAGACTCTTCTTCTTTTAAAAGGTGAGTAGAAACTATAGTAAGTATCCTGAATTTTTCAGTTTTCATCGAAACGATGAAATTCTTGTAACCAAATGAGAATCTAATAGCTCTCCGGAACCATCTATCCCTTGGTATAGCATCGAGGATAAGAAGAAACTCTCCCTTTCTGATCGGCGTGCTCGAAGTGGGCGTGGCTTCACAGCTCCGGACTCGAAAANATAGAGAGAACGAGAGAGAGAGAGAGAGAGAGAGAGAGAGAGAGAGAGAGAAAGACTGAAAAACAGAGCGAAAGAAGCGAAATCGTGGCATAGAAGGAGAAGAGGAGAGAGACGACGATTGTAGAACGTGTAAGAGATCCAAGAAGAGGGAGAGGGAGAGAAAAGATCAGAAGAAGGGAATCGAGATACGCGTCTCTCGACATGTTTTTATCCGGCGTGAAGCTGTCACGGGCTTTTATGTGTTTATTTATCTCTCCGCTCTCTCGACACGTCGTGAACATGTATCGAGAGGCCGAGTCTACACACGTCTACACGCGTATGGTGGACCGTGTCAGGGCCCTGCCGATTGGAAGCCGCGTTCTCCTTTAACCCCTTCGCTTGTCCCTTTTTTTCTCCTTCGATTCGCGACGACCGGTCCCGAGAAATCGGTCCCCGCAGGTCACCGATCCGTCCGGATCCGCCGTACATCATTTTGGAAACGCCACACTTCGACCCACGCACCACCCTTCAGACTGGACATTTTATTAGTGCGCACACTGGTTCAATGCCTTCGCTTTCCATCAATCGCGAGACATTTTTAAACTCAACCCCTTTGCGGACGAGGGCGAATAGTTTCCCCGAACTACTAAAATATTTATCGGAGACTTCAGTAATTGGAAAACTTAACGCTGTGGTCTGATCTTCTGTTCTACCATACACATACATAACCAGATTATGTGTTTGCAATTTCCGAAGGATTAATCGGCACTGTCCCAATTTGGGTTTTCAACCCGTTGAAACTAAATTTCCAAAAAATGTTGAGAAACATTGAACTAGTTGTATGCGGTTACTGTATGCATTATCGAACGTGTCGATACAACGTGATTCTCTAACACGAACGAGTTTTGTAAACTAGACACGGTAAGATCCGAAAGAGTTACGCAGCGTTGTCGAGGGTTCGAGCGAACTGGTCCATATTTCAATCACTCCCGAGAGCGCGTTTCGCGAGAAGAATTTATTAATTAATCGTTATTCGCGCTGTCACGGTGCAGAACCAGTCAGGACCCCTGGCTGGGGCAGCCCCGCCCATAAAAGACCGGCGAATAAACTTCCAGGGGCTTTAATTGTCGATCGACGTAATTATACCGTTGACGTCGCCGAGAGGTGCGTAACGCGGACTCGCATCGAACACGTGTTTCGAATTTCATTTACGCGGTCGTCGATACACGCGCCAGACCGGGGAACGCTTGTACAGGCTGTTCAACAGGTGGACGAGAATTTTAGACGCGATCACTGCTCTAGGCGCTTCAGAATGTTCGATGCGGACGCAGCTTATTCGCACTTCATTTCTACCTAACCAGGGACAGTGTCGCAGAGGGATGATGATGCTCGTGATCGAGCGAGACTCTTCTTCTTTTAAAAGGTGAGTAGAAACTATAGTAAGTATCCTGAATTTTTCAGTTTTCATCGAAACGATGAAATTCTTGTAACCAAATGAGAATCTAATAGCTCTCCGGAACCATCTATCCCTTGGTATAGCATCGAGGATAAGAAGAAACTCTCCCTTTCTGATCGGCGTGCTCGAAGTGGGCGTGGCTTCACAGCTCCGGACTCGAAAAGTGCCACTCTCCCCGCAGATCATCCTACACGGCAGTATAGCGCCAGGAAATGAAAACGCCTTCATGCGACACATCGCCGAGGGAGTCGGACGCCTTAACGAGTTTCAGCGAAGAGTGGAACGGGGTTAATAGGAAGCGAATCGTCGGTTAATAAACCACGGCTCTCGGTTTTTTCCTCTCGGGAGCAGCGAGCGACCAGTGAACCGGCCGCGATTAATTAGCTAGATCAATCTCGATCGATGCGTATTCAAAGTGTTGCCATAAATCGCTTGCGCAACCGGGTCTCGCGTTCCGATTTCCCGGCTGAAAGACAGGCGAAATTATACTGACTCGCTTGTGAGAAAGAAAGAGAGAGAGGGAGGGAGAAAGAGAGAGCAAGATAGAAAGGATCTACGCGCGCGGAACGAACTTTAAAATTACTATGATCCACGCGGTTTCCCGCATCGATGCGGACGGAAGCCGGCGGCCACAGGACATACCGGGCAAACTTCTCTTTTCCCCCTCCGTAGAACATTATTTCGAATCGCTGTAGATCGTTCTTCCTTGTGGATCACGTTGCTGGATGACGATGCATCGACGAAACGAATCGGTACGATCGAGTGACACCTTGACCACGCTTTATCACGGCTGCCAGCGCTTCGATCGAGCTTTTCCCGTGATTTACCGAGCGAGCTTAGGCAGCGACAACTTTCTAGATCGCGCGTCTAGGTGTGTGCAGTGTTGACAGAGATAAGCGGCTCGCGCGAAACCGCGAGATACATCGGGACAAACGCCGTTCCACCGAATCGACACCTTTCGATCGCCGATCGCGCCGATAGCCTGCATGTCTAGCGCATTAGCATTGTATGGCGTAAATATCGGTGCTGGTTCCACCGGGTACCGGACAAACTTAACATTCGTTCCTGCAACGATGCGGGACTAACTGATGGATAGAGGACCCGGCCACTCCAGCCGATCGACGTCGATCCGCGATACTTGTTAATCCTAGATGATGTAAGAAGAGAGCGTTTGGAGCGGCTTGATTTCTAGAAATTAGCGACAGCGAAGATTGAGCAGAAGCTCAGCTTTATCAGGATGATAAAATGACGCTTTGTGCGTCTCGTAGCTCACAGATCAGGTTTTCTCGCCTGTCCAAGAAAGCTGTGCAAACTGTAACTGTAGCTGTAAACTGTCGGGAATTATGAAATCATCGCCACCAGACAATGTGTGAATAGCGTCACGTAAAGTATGCTTCGCCCGCAGCAACGGCAAAGAAACCGGCAATCGGTACCTCCGGCGTGAAATGCTCGTTTTTCCGATTACCGGGGATTATACAACAAATCGTTGTCGGTCGGCCTGTCCATGTCAACGCGCGACGATAATGCCGTGAAGTTTCATTCGCGCCGCTGGAAAGTAACTGTTACAAAATAGATATTCAGCCGATCGCGTGGAAATAGGTGTGCCCGGTAGAGGAACGTGCAACGACTGTCCGACGGAGCTTCGTTCCTGGGACGAAAGTCGCATGGAAACGGGGGATTAGACGGCGGAGAGCGAGAGAGAGAGAGAGAGAGATCAATTAACGCGGAACTCCTGGTTCGCGTGTCGACAGCCGGGTACCATCGGCAACAAGTACCATCGGGGAGAGGACCGGCAGCGAAGGAGCAGAGCGTGGAGGCACCGGCGCAACGCGACACGTTATAACCTTCGACTCTCTCGCGCGAATATGCTTATACGAGAATATGCGGCTGCCAATGGGCCTCCGCTCGTAGCTCTCGTTCCTCTTATTGCAAGAGGAAACCCGTGGTCCCGTGTTCGGACCGAGTCGAACAGCCAGGGGCGAAGGACCGTTAGCGACACCTCGTTCTCACGCATGTATGCGCAACGCAAAACGATCGTGTCCCTCAGAAAATCCGCGATTTTCCATCCCGGACACCGCAGAGGATCGAGTTTCGTTTAATTCGTATGCCAAGGGATTAAACCATGTGTGAACCTGTCACGCGAGAATCTCTGTTCAACGTTAGCTTGCCGACATAGATTGGATGACCAGTCGTTGACGCTATAAGAACGTCGAAACGATCGACATTCTATTGAATTGAGCACGCATTGCTCGACAATCGTCAAAAGAAATCAATCAGTTCGAAGAAATCAAATCCGATTTTGTTGTCGATGTAAGAAGTATGTTAGTCACTTTCGGTGGTGGGTAAGCGTTGCTCCGTCGAGCCACTGGCACCGAGAAGCGGAGGACCTCTAGTGCTCGCTTCCGGTTGCACAAGTGGCGACCTAAACAGTGGCCCCAATTGAACCTTCCAAGGAAACTATCTCCGCGAGTAAACAGTCTGATTAAGCTCCCCAGGAATTTAAGAACGCCCGGGGACCGTGAAACAAGAAGTGGTAAAAATTAAGTTTTCCATTATGGGACGTGCAGTTTTGAAGCACGACGAGTCGTGAGAACCGAAAGCCCCATTAAGATCGCGCGGAAGCTCGATAAACAAGCTACTCGAGCGCGACGATAACGCCGAAGAAGGGAGCGCATTAAGATCGCCGCGCGAATCGAACAGCGGAAGAGGCATCGCGGAAAAAACGTACACGCTGACAAAAGCGACGAGAATTAATGCAGAAAGCGAGGGTGTGAGGACGCGAGCGGGTGGCCGATGAAGAGGAGGAAGGGGACGAGGAGGGCGGCAACAGAGAGCACATGTGGCCGAGGAGAGTTGTCGTCGATATCTCCTCTTGGTTGCCGATGACAAAGACTCGCGGGGGGAATATGTGGGTTCAATGAATCAGTCCTCGGAGACTCGTATTTTGGCGCGGCCGCGAGAAACGGCCGGTTGACATCGGGCATTTTAAAAATAATCGTGCTTCATCCGGGCGCCTCGATAAAGGGTTAGCGCCTCGGGCAGACGCGCTCGTTTCTTGTGCCACACTTTTGCTTCAGATCTTTTGGAATCGTCGCGAAACCGTGAGAAAAATCGCCTCTGATCCGGTTGGATCCCTCGTGATAGAATGTCGGGATGGCGATCCACGCGCGCGCGTGGAGACGTTCACGTGTTCCGAAAAATATTGATATTGATTGTCGAAGTACCTGGTAGCTTCAATCTATAGCGATTTCAACTGATACTGGGTCGATACTGTTTTAGGAAAGTTCTCTGTGTTCTTTAAAAAGTTTCTTTCACTTTTGAGGAAAGATCTGCGTCAGAGGATTTGATACGAGAACTTTAGACTTGCGATTAGCCGAGGAACTGGTTTAGTCAATCAATAATTAGCGAAAAGATCGGTTACATATCAAGAGAAATATTGGAGACAGATTAGCAATGAATCTATCGAGGACTGAAAAGACTACTGTTTGGAACGAGATAAACAACGGCAATCGTTCAGACTGTCGTGTGCACCAACATTCGAAACAACGTAAGCGAAATAACGATTGAAATCGCAATATTATTCAGTGAAAATATCTTTGCGCACGCTGAAAGGTTTCTTTATTTACAGAAGTGACTGTCAAACCTAACACAGAAGATTCAATTGAAGAACTACAAGTTGAAAGAGCAGCTGGGTACTCCCGAGGAATGAAGACTTAATTCAAGCGCTTCAGATTGTGAAGAACCACTTCGAAACGAAACGTCAGCACCAATCCTTTAAATTTGTTTTCCTAAGCAAACGGCTGCTAAATCGATTTCGTCGATGAACGAAGGTGTTAATTACTGTAGAAAGGATCGGCGTACCTGGTGCAGCGCCAAGGAATGAATAGCCGACGACGAGGGCGGCGAACGTCGTCGTCAGGAGTCCGACGAGCATCATCGTTGATCGGCAAAGGCTGGACCGGGTCTGGGACGGGTCGTGGCCACTGGTCGCATCGGTAATCACCGTAATCACGTGAACAATGTTAGAAAAAGCGGCGTAGAATGCGTGACGGTGTTCGCATGTCGGCGAGAAGAGGGCTCGCGCGCGAAAACGAAACGCTGTGGAGCGCGGTCCGCGAACGACTGAGCTTTTCGTGCCACTTGCGGCCTCGAGGCTCTCCAGCAAGCTTTTTACTCGGCCGAGTGGGTGAGAGGAAGAAGGAGACGCGTACCGGAGACACCGAGAGCGAGAGAGAGGGAGGGAAAAAGAGAGACAGATAAGAGAGAAAGAGGGAGGGAAGAGACGGGACAGACAGTGACCGGGGGATTGCGTGTGGGAGGAGGGAAAAGACGCGTGGCGCGTTGTCACGCAGTGCAACTGCTATTGTGACATCTTCGAGCTGTACCCACACGGCCCCCGACTTCGCCTTTTTTCCTACGACGTCCTATCTCGACCCCTCTTTTGCTCTCTCTCTCTCTCTCTCTCTCTCTCTCTCTCTCTCTCTCTCTCTCTCTCTCACCCGCTCTCTCTCTTTTTCTTCCGCTTCGACCTCCGGCAACGCAGTCGCAAGATTTCTCGGTGAATTTCGCGCGTGCGAATCCATCAAACCTCCTGTCCAGGAAGAGAATACTAATATGGATGCTAGCGTGCCAATTTTAGCCCTTCTGTCGGTACTGAAAATCTTCTAGGATGTTCTCTAACGTTGCGGTAGCGAGACTTCTCGTACGTTCGTATGCAAATTAATCTATAATTATCCGGGACTGTGGAAATGTATGACGACTTTGCTATTCGACGACGAGAATATACAGACGATCTTAGAGGGTATTGACATTAGGACTAATCAGTCATTCTAATATAAAACCCACTGCAAGGGTATGGAATACAAATGTGCATTGTTGCTGTACATGGTTGATGACTGGTCATCTTCGTACAGAATAGACTCTTTCTTTATTAGATATAAGTTCTTTCTTTTCTTTAATAATTGTAACGAGTTGGTAACTATGCATTGGTGTTAATGTTCTTTGACAATTCGGGCATCGACAAATTTTTTAAGCACGAGGAATCGTTTTTTCAATGGCAAAATAGATTTTGTCTGTTTTTCTTTTTTTTTAAATCTACGAAAATGTGAGTTCCTCTTTGGCCTGGGAGATTTTTTGTATTGATCTAATTATCGGCCGATTACGAGATGCAAGGGGGAGATAGACGGTGCCTGTCGCTCGCAACTCATCTTGTAAGGTCCCATTCGCCGCTTATGGTTCACATTTCTCCAAAGAAGCTGATAACCCACAGTTTTACTTCCTCCGATAGCGATTTAACATGCTACGAGCGATATTCTGGACGATATTCGAATAAGCGCCGATTGACGCGAGCTATCTTTGGTGCTGGGGATATCGTTGACCCTGCTATAGTCTTCGATCTTTCGTCCGGAGGAGACTCGAACAGTTTTACAATCGTTTCAGACGTTCTATTACACGCAATCGAATTCTTCTTTGCGAAGCTGAAAGCAAAACAAGATCCTTGTCTCGGATCTCGTCATAATAAAAAATGTCTCGTATTTTTCGTTCATCGCCGTTGTAACTTTGTACATGAAATGAGAATATCAGGTTGCTGGGGATGTGGGCGTGAGAGGTAATCGAATTTGCGGAACGTGATATAGTCGATGTNCGCGAACGACTGAGCTTTTCGTGCCACTTGCGGCCTCGAGGCTCTCCAGCAAGCTTTTTACTCGGCCGAGTGGGTGAGAGGAAGAAGGAGACGCGTACCGGAGACACCGAGAGCGAGAGAGAGGGAGGGAAAAAGAGAGACAGATAAGAGAGAAAGAGGGAGGGAAGAGACGGGACAGACAGTGACCGGGGGATTGCGTGTGGGAGGAGGGAAAAGACGCGTGGCGCGTTGTCACGCAGTGCAACTGCTATTGTGACATCTTCGAGCTGTACCCACACGGCCCCCGACTTCGCCTTTTTTCCTACGACGTCCTATCTCGACCCCTCTTTTGCTCTCTCTCTCTCTCTCTCTCTCTCTCTCTCTCTCTCTCTCTCTCTCTCTCTCACCCGCTCTCTCTCTTTTTCTTCCGCTTCGACCTCCGGCAACGCAGTCGCAAGATTTCTCGGTGAATTTCGCGCGTGCGAATCCATCAAACCTCCTGTCCAGGAAGAGAATACTAATATGGATGCTAGCGTGCCAATTTTAGCCCTTCTGTCGGTACTGAAAATCTTCTAGGATGTTCTCTAACGTTGCGGTAGCGAGACTTCTCGTACGTTCGTATGCAAATTAATCTATAATTATCCGGGACTGTGGAAATGTATGACGACTTTGCTATTCGACGACGAGAATATACAGACGATCTTAGAGGGTATTGACATTAGGACTAATCAGTCATTCTAATATAAAACCCACTGCAAGGGTATGGAATACAAATGTGCATTGTTGCTGTACATGGTTGATGACTGGTCATCTTCGTACAGAATAGACTCTTTCTTTATTAGATATAAGTTCTTTCTTTTCTTTAATAATTGTAACGAGTTGGTAACTATGCATTGGTGTTAATGTTCTTTGACAATTCGGGCATCGACAAATTTTTTAAGCACGAGGAATCGTTTTTTCAATGGCAAAATAGATTTTGTCTGTTTTTCTTTTTTTTTAAATCTACGAAAATGTGAGTTCCTCTTTGGCCTGGGAGATTTTTTGTATTGATCTAATTATCGGCCGATTACGAGATGCAAGGGGGAGATAGACGGTGCCTGTCGCTCGCAACTCATCTTGTAAGGTCCCATTCGCCGCTTATGGTTCACATTTCTCCAAAGAAGCTGATAACCCACAGTTTTACTTCCTCCGATAGCGATTTAACATGCTACGAGCGATATTCTGGACGATATTCGAATAAGCGCCGATTGACGCGAGCTATCTTTGGTGCTGGGGATATCGTTGACCCTGCTATAGTCTTCGATCTTTCGTCCGGAGGAGACTCGAACAGTTTTACAATCGTTTCAGACGTTCTATTACACGCAATCGAATTCTTCTTTGCGAAGCTGAAAGCAAAACAAGATCCTTGTCTCGGATCTCGTCATAATAAAAAATGTCTCGTATTTTTCGTTCATCGCCGTTGTAACTTTGTACATGAAATGAGAATATCAGGTTGCTGGGGATGTGGGCGTGAGAGGTAATCGAATTTGCGGAACGTGATATAGTCGATGTGTTGCAAAATTCGAATCCTGCGTGTTACATGGCGATTGAAATTCTCGATCTAGAAGGATCAAGAAGGTCAAATGTCCGATCGCTTGAAATGATTCCAGAATCATGATATTCCAGACATGAGTGACGCTGCTATGAATCGAATGGAAAACTTAAAATATCAGTTCCTAATTTAATTTATCATCTAAGATGCAAGCGTTGGAAGATCAGAGAACATCAAGATCAGCAGGAGGTCAATTGAGATCAACAGAAAAGTGCACCTGCTACAAAAAGAGCTTTTGAAATGCAAATTTCTGCGTTGACTGGATCATTTGCATACCGGGGAAACTCTTTCCCCTCTGAATACCACAATGAATTTATCTCCAATTTGTTGTACACGATTCGTTAATTTACCCAGCCAATCTTCGCGACGTCGTCCCATGAAGATCGTCTCCCCTTTCTTCATCTCTTCAGACTAACCCCGTTATTCCAACACAGATGTGCGCAAGTCAAGTCCGCGCAATCAACCGACGGCTCCGATAACAATTTCATCGTCGATATAATTGCACGATGCTAGCCGTTGTGCAATCATTATTCCGATTGGTCTTGACGGCGAAAAGCGCAAAAGCTCCGTGTGAAAATTCATTACGAAGGCGGAGAAAATAGCCGCGATGGAGGAACCAGTTTCTAGTTGAACGTCGATAAATACGTTCAAAGTTTCCTGCAAATGTGTACCGGTTCAGGCTGCATCAGCATCGGAGTCTCTCTCTCTCTCTCTCTCTCTCTTTCTCCCCCATTCTCGGTATCCTCCTCTATCTATCTATCTCTGTGCACACCATAAAGACCATTATTAATGTAACACGCGGTGCTCGCACGACTAATTTGCAAAATGAACGGTTGATGGCGCGATCCCGTGATGCCTACGAGCCCGAGCGGACCTTTGACATTAACAAAGACATTCGTCGAGGTACACGGGAACATTGTACGGCCACGCTGAACTCGAATTACCTCTGGGCGATGCTCGATCGTCACCGGTTGAACTATCGTCCGCGTTTCGCGCGCGATTAACGTGCAATAAACCATACCTACTTATCTTCCAGTCACGCGACTACTCGAACATTTTTCTGTGTTTAGATAGCTGTTCCGCTGGAAGCACCGGGATGATTTTCAACGCGACCAGATCTCGTCGCAGGCTTCGCCGCGCGGACTTCGCTCGACCCGGCTTAACTCACTTAAGTAGTCACAATGGTTATTAATTATCCGGAGGAGGGCACCGTTCAAGCGATCGGCGTTGTCTGCATCTGGCGATCAAAATTCCAACAACAGAAACTCTGATTTTCCCCGATGGCTCGACTCCAGTTGCCGAAGAACGCAGGAACGAAGAAGAGTAGAAACAAACCCTTCTTCTCCCGTTTTGATTTTGCAAATTTTTCCACAGGAAAAATCATGATCGTACGGCTTTCAGACTTCGTGGACGCGTTTGTCGGTCATTGGAGAGGATCGTAAACGTGGTTGCATGTAGAAACTATAATCTTGTCCTTCGATTCTCGAAGTCGTGAAACGCAAGAGTGAAGATGGATTTCCTTTCACATTAAATCTTTGGTAATTTTCCCGGACGAAAGTAACGAAAATATTGAATTTATACTTTTGTGATTGCGTTTACCAAACATTGGAGAGTGCGAGGCACTTTATTGCATGCAGAAAGAACGATTGTGCCAAGAGTTATGAATCGATGTACGATATTGTAGCGACAGGATAATAATGTCTCTGTGTTTTCCAGATCGAGCGGATCGGTATCGGCGATTCCATTCGAAGTTTGGAGGATTTCTATTGTGTTAGAGCAACGAGTGGACGTCGTTAATATAAATTCGATGGCGATTTACTTTCTATGCATGTACGGTTCACGTATTTGCCTCACGCACCCTCCGAGCGAAGGGGACGGAGGAGGAGAGCCAGCGCGAGCAAGGGGAAAGACCAAATAGTTCTGTGGACGTCGCATCCTCCGTCAATCGTCGGCTGCATGTCAATGAACCGGCGTCGAACAGCGGCAAAAATCGAGAGCCAGGCTCGTAGACAGCCTCCATAGCGCATGCAGCGCGGGAAATCGAGTTTCTCGCGTAAATTTGTCGCGCGACTGCATCGTGCCAGCGGAATGTCCTTTGTCAACCGCGATCTGCATTCGCAATGTCCGCCTCCGCCTTCCCCGTTACATTCCACCCTGCTCGCTAAGACTATGCACACCGTAGTTTCCAATTTTTCTGGGACTTACGGCACCGAGGGGAACGCTATAACAAAAATCACCGGTGAAATCGTCAACCGACTTGTCGATCTTTGAACTCCTGCGACTTTATGTACGAGTTTCTCACGACATTCTGTTTGTGCTCATTTTAAAGAGCGGAGTCTCTGTTTTCACACCCGTGAATTTAGCTTTTGTTTCGATCATTTTTCTCCATTGTAAATCTGTGCTCGAATAGAAAACTAACTTCGAGTAGAGAAGTTACTTTCTCGAGGCTTCTGCATTAAAACGATCACACCGAGACTAAAGAATCTTGTTCTGTATCGTTTCAACGTGGTTTTGCACGCGCGACCAGTGCTTGAGCCGAGCAACAGACAGGACGTTGTAAGATTTTATCGCCCGAGATCAAAGATCGACACCTGCTCAGGATACTCTGAACAAAAAAATCAAAGTAGTCTCCACAGGAACGAGAATTTCCTCTAATGCCGCTTGCCGGAGCGGTTTAATTTTTGCTAAAGCGTTCTGCTGTAACGAAGAAAATCCTCGCGATTCGCTCTGCCGGAAGCAGGGCACATCGGGCCAATCGATGAGGAGTGACTCACACATACGGTCACCGCAACGAGAACAGATTAGCCCGCATCGATGCTCTCCACGTTCTGCAATTTGGATAATGCAGTCGATGCTGCTCGTGCTCGCCGACTTGTCATTATGGAAAACTGCTTTTGTACGAGGACAATGGGAACGCAATGAGCGAAATTGGGACGCAACGAGGCGGCGATAAACGCGCCTTGAAAAATTAGACGTTAGAGAAGGATTTTCCACGAAGTCACTGCGCGGCGGCGCACGCTGGTCCAGAACCGATTGTTAACTTTTGTTTTTGTTTGTTTGAGTACTTAGCTATCGTTCGAAAGCGGTGCGCGACGAGAGAAAACGTTCCGCTTGGAAAGGTCAGCGCGTGACAAAGACGATCGGCGATACTCTGTGAAAATGATGACGGTCCTCGCGCGTTCCACGGCGATTAAAGCGAATTTCCTTAATCACAGGCTTCGGCCAACGCCGTTCGAGATTCCCGATAGCTTCAATCGCGTTTTAGCCGGCCGCCACGGTGCCTGGCTACCCCTCACGGACGGTGTTTATATGGTCGGCCTGTTAGCAACGCGTAAACGCCAGAAAAGGCGGCCTCGGTAACCCGGAAACTCGCGCCGACACTCATAAATAAGATTCAAATATCACGAGCCTGCGCTCTAAAGGTGCCTCCATTGAGCGCATTGTCATCCCAGGCTGATATATGCGGCATTTGTTCTCCGTTGAAAATTCGCTTCGCCTAGCACGCCGAGAGACTCCCGTCTACAGATCTAATCAAGTTCGCGCCGGATTTTTCTTCGGGGAACAGAAAGGGTAGAGTTTCATGAAACTGTTTGGGGTCAAGAGTCCCGTAAAAGATTCGCGTTATAAGCCACCGTCACCCTTCTGGCGCCAATCGTTCGTGATGAAGGGTCGCAGGTGAAGTCAAACGGAAAACCGGCGGACAAAAAGCTGCAAGCTCCAGGCCGGGCGCAGAGGGTTGCAAACGATGCACAATGTTTTGAATGGTACATGCTAATTGATCAGAAAAGTATGCCCCGCGAGATGAATAGCAATACTTCAGATTAGATCTACCAGTTGCTATAAAAGAATGAATTTATTATATTTAGACCGCAAATTTTTGCATAAAATAAAAATAGTCTGTTACTATCTACAAGAAATAGAATGCAACAATGTAATGTAAAAATGAATATGTTTGTATCTTGCATTATTATAAATAGCAATCTCTATCTGTAATTTATTTATTCAATTGTCTGATAAAAATGCATAAAATCCGCAGTCTACATATAAAGAATACCATTAACAGAAGAACTACTGAGCCGGAAACGTGACCACCGCATTTGATAAAATTGGATTTACACGCTCTTCGTATGACTTATAGTTTGACCAAAGAAGTTAGTAAAAAGATGTCACGTAGAAACATTTCGAAAATATCAACGACTGTAAAAGAAATAATCAGAAATCAGTCGCTTCATCACGTCCGGTAGTTCCAGCGTTAAAGGGACTATGAAGTGGTAAAAAAAATCAATAAACTACAAGATAGCATTGTAGCTTGATACGAGAAGTTGCGTAAAAAGAAATGTACGACGATTGTTGGATTTTGTGGGATTTAGGAAAGAATTTGGGTTTTGTCCAGCTCAGACGGTTCGAAAGATCGTGGGGCGACGGTAGCGCCTTCGGCAAGGTCCGCCGTGTTCGCGCAACCCTCCTAACAGCCGTGTAGACGAGTGGTGGCGGGTCGACACAGTGGGGTGGCGGAACGGGAAACTCTTTCCACGAAAGTGTTGGGGTGGATTGGCGCTGTCCATATGGAGGCAAACGAGGCGCCGTGTTAGGCAGCCGGGCCTGCACGGACGCCTTGCCGTGTCTTCTGGCTAGGGAACACAGTGTCGCCGAAAACACGAGACCTCTGGCCCCGGAAGGTGGCCTTTACGAAGAGCCGGAGAGAATTTGATACATAATCCGGTGAGTGGCAGGGTCCGCCGACCGTGTCTATGCTTCGGCGAGAGACGGCTCGAGAGAGAAAACGCGAGCATCGAGAGAGTGCACGGCTTTTCTAAATGGGTCAACCCAACCCAGCAACTCGACGTGTGTGCACTCGGTTCCTCTTGCGAGAGTCCGTTCCATGGCCTAGTTTCCCCGAGGGCTACGAAGTGAGAAGGCACGCGACCTCCTCGTCGACGGGGACGCGAACGAGAGTGCACACGCGGCTGCATAACGCTGCTGCCGCCCCTGGTTTCGGTGGTGCCGTGCTCGTCGTCGACGTCGCCATCGTCGTCGCGGTCCCTCCGATCGAAGCTCCCCGACGGAGGAAAAATAATAATGAGATCCGCGTCGTCGGGGTCGCATTGATTGTCTCGCGATCGCAGCACGGCCAGTCTGAGGAGGTGAGAGGGTCGCGTCGCTTTGGCTCGTAACATTGCTGATGTCGCTCTTGGTACGATGCATCCGGAAACGATCCGTGTCGCGTTCCTCTTGCTGCTCTGTTGATACGTTCTCGTGAATCGCACGCGAGAACCGCTTAAGGGTGGCAATCGCGGACGCCTGCACGCGACCCTGAATTCAATTATCGATTCTTCGGGCAAAATACACGGCGGTGCGTTCCCAATGCACCCGTGCGAGTCGCCTCGTTTTGGTCAGCTGGCCTCCCCGTCTGCGCTCCTCCGAAGGGTGCAAACTGCACGCGAGTGATCAAGCATCGTTCTCCTCTTGCGGACTGTGATGCCGTTGACCATGTAGATTCGAAAGATTTCTAATTGATCCTCCGGTGTTGGGGAGGCTCTCATCCCCCGCGAGGCACGGTCTCGTCTTGATTGGATTATCGCGTTCCGGTGCATGTGCAAATCTAATAATGTGCATTTCCGTTCTCATTATAGATAGGCCGAGTGTTGATTGCACGCGAGAAAAATGGCGGCCAGCAAACCACCTGAAATGAATTACACGTGCGAGATCTGCGGCCTCGAGGGCTTCAACGACGAGGAGATGAGGTCACACATGGTGTTTTATCATCTTCAAGGAGCCGCAAACTGCCCCTTTTGCGACCTCGGCGAAATCTCGCCCACGGAAATGTTGGTGCACGTTAACAGTGCTCATTTGGACTACTTAACACCGAGGTATAGCCGAATCTGTTAGCTGTTTGAACGAGTTTTCTTTCAGGTGTTTTGTCGGCATCGTAATCAGCAATTTAAATCGTAACGTCCATCTGGAAAATGGCGGCAAAGATGTCTTAGATGTCGCTTACTTTGTACCTTAATGGGGATGTTGTTATTCGTGACTGAAAATCAGAAGATATTTTTATTGGAATAAACGTGTTGCTTTTGAGTGTATAGAAATTAATCATAGTTGCATTATGAAATAGTACATTTTCTTTTTAACTCGTGTTCAATCTTCCAATGCTTTTATATTAAATCTCTAATTAATTCTGAATTTACTTAACTAAGCACTTACTATTATTATGTTAAGGAGAAATTAATTTTATTCATTAAATAACAAATAATAATTACTTGTGACTACAAACACAAGAATAAAACTGTCAATATATATATGTAACTATCATAATCTGACTAAAAGTACATAATTGTAGATTAACAGAATCTAGAAAAATGATAATCGATAAAGATGAAGAAGTAGAAAATTCTTTAAATTTAAGTAATGTTGATAAAAAGTAATGTTTTTCACAATTATCTGTATACATATAAAAAATTTTTCAAATGTATATGTTTAATAATATTTACTTCCTGTTGCAGCACCCCAGAAAATGACATGATGGCATTCATTGATGATGACTCATTAGTGGATGACCACAGACATGATGAGTGCCGTGGTCCTTCACCATCCATGTCTCTACGTCCACTTCTTTTACAAAATGGCTGGGGCAGCTCATCCAGTCTACGTGTTAAACCACAACCAGAACCATCGAAGTCAGAACCACATCATTCTAGTTCTAATGTGAATAATAATAATAACAATAACAACACTGGGAATGTCAATAATGGTATCAAGAAGTTAAATAACATGTTATATACATTTATACCAAAGGGTATGTAAAATGACCAAAAATTTTATTCCAGTGGTAGAAGGTGCGGCTGGTCATGGTTCTCCATTACGTTCAGGCCTAAATTTGCAGCTGCGTTCTCATGCTACACCAAAACTTCCAGTTCAAGAGTGCCCTATGTGCCCCTACAGTTCTGATAGTCCATTAAGGCTAGAAGAGCATATCAATCGGCAACATTTTGATCTCACTTCACCGTCCTTTCCACCCGAATCTCCACCATCTCGAGATGGTGTTTTCAACTGCCCTCTGTGTATCACTTCATTCCCCAACTCTTCTGATCTTGAGCTACATGTGAACATAGAACACAAAGATATTTTGAGGTATATCTAAATCTAAACATCTGTACCACCACCAACACAGAATTGTACTATAAAATATATCTTTTTATACAGCCCTGCAAATGGTGCAGCTTCACAATCAGATTTGGCAACCGTTGGCAGTGACACTCCAGCCTGTCCAGTTTGTTTTAGTACTTCATTTAAAAGCAATGATGAGCTGACTGTGCACATTGAAGAGCATTTTAGCAAAAAAGGTACTCCATCTCCCATAACCCCAGACTTGTCCACTGACAGACTGTTGGCAAAGGACATGGAAAGGCGTGAGAAGGAAGTTAGAAAATTGCGAGAACAACGAGAATTTGAAATGTTGAGAGCGCAGTATGGAATGGACAATCAGGGCAATTTTAGAGAACAGAGTGTCACTAATATGCAGCGGGCTGTATATTCGGGTGAAATGACGATCGCTGATTATTATGAAAGGCAGAGTGAACTTAGAGTAGCCGAAAGTAGTGGCATTGACGACGGCAGCTCCTGCACACGTGGTAATATTAATTTCACTCAAAATTATTATTTCTTAGTATCAAAATATCTCATAAATTTCTATACTCATTTCATTATACTAATATTGTTCCAATATTCCATAGGACTGGTCTCAAAAATACGAGCCGTGAGTCAAGCATGTAGCAACGTGTTGAGTACCTGGATGTGTTCCACTGTAGATCATTACGCCACTACTTACGGAGACAAGGGCTGGGGATGTGGATATAGAAATTTACAAATGTTAATTTCGTCGCTTTTACAACATACAGGGTATAATGAGTTAGTTTATAAAGCATGGAGTTCTGGTCTGGGTAGCGGTAGCTCCACTAAAAATCCACTCCGAAGTTCTATACCGTCTATCTCCAGACTTCAAAAAATGATAGAATTTGCTTGGGCTCAGGGTTTTGATACTCAAGGAGCAGAACAACTAGGCGGTAAATTGGTCAACACTAGGAAATGGATTGGTCCCACAGAAGTCGTTATATTGTTATCTAGCTTGAGAATAAAGTATGTATTCGAATTTCTACTGTTTGTTCTTGGGGTATATTTATTACCTAATAATGGGCTACAATGAACAGGTGTCAGCTGGTAGATTTTTATAGACCAACCAATGCTGATGGTGGACATCCAGAAATGTTTCATTGGGTTTTACAATATTTTCAGCGGTGTGACGATTTCAAACCACCTCTTTACCTACAACATCAAGGTAAATATTCATTAAGATAGTAGAGTAATTGTTTTGCATCGATTCTAAAATTGAATCTCTATTTGCAGGACATAGTAGAACAATAATAGGAGTAGAACAATTAAGAGATGGTTCAATAACAATGTTAGTACTCGATCCAAGCCATAATCCAGCACAAATGGCACAGTTTAATAGTACAAGTAGCGCACTAGGTGCAATGCGTTTGGTACGAAAATCGATTGCCGCGATGAAAGCGAGGCAGTATCAGGTCGTTGCAGTGACCGGTATCATGGAAACCGAATTAGAGTATCAAGTGAGGAAAATTTACCACGTTCTTTCTACATATTAAACACACGTGCAACCGATCGTATAATAAAAGCACAATGTTTGGACGTTTTTCAGCAAAGCAAAGTATTACGTTTGATCCGCGTGCCCCAAGATAGGTGAGATTTGCTGACCCAAAAAGGAGTTAAATTTTGTGGAAAGATGATAGACTGCCTCAAACCAATTTTGTCCGGTATCCTTAAAGTTACGTGACCGCAATGTTCTAGGTTTTATCATTAAGAGAATTTGCTCCACCGTAGTAGTTGCAAAAATATTATTTAAACGATATATTCTTGCATCTCTTAGCCGTCAGAAATCGACTGGCTCCACGAATTGTGTATAATCTAAGCCTGCGTCGCGGTTCAGAGTTTTGGAGCTGAATAATTCAATCGCGAATCAGAGGAAAAACAAAACGAAGCCGCAAAAGTTGTAATTTCTAAAGAAACAAGTGTGTCTAAATGTCGCGCGTATTGATCTTTTTCTTTTTAAGTCCATGCTCAGCTCTGGAAATACTATATTATGATGTGTGCTTGAGAAAAAAAAGGAAAGTTTCAGTGACGAAGTATCTAACGGATAGAGTTGATTCGATCGCCATTTCTTGTCCACAATGTTCTGCTCAATTTTCGTCGCACCGAACGGGCTGTGCTAAGTTTTAGTCGACCAATCGTCCTATGCCAGTCGGTTGCATCAGCGAAAAAAGCCATGGCAGAGCTTGGGAATCAAGACTCTTTCGTAGCTGTGATGCTGTTATCGATTTTACGCTAATCAATCACCGATTATAAATATTTTTGAAGGCACTCCATAATGTCGATACATTGCAGAAAGCAACATTGTCCGCGCTTACCTTCTCTCACCTGTACTCTACATTTTTAATAAACTTTGTTGTCAAAATGTTGTCAATTTTTAGTCAATAAAATGGAAATACCAATAACAAAAATACGACGCGCACTACGATGAGACTTTTATATATTGTTACAAGCAAAAAAGTTATTCTCTGATATATATTTTCGTTATTTGTTGCTTTTACATATTTTTGGGGTGTCTACAAAAATGGATAATGTATTTCTATATATTGAATATATGTTTATCTATATATACATAAACACATATTTGCACAGTCTTCGTTACTATTACATTTCACTCACTCATACATAAAGTACAACTACTTTCATACTAATTATACATATTCTATTTAATTATTCAATTAATTTAAGGCTACCCGTACATTAGCTTGTAAGTTTAATGCAATGCTGTGACCGAAAGAAGGAAGTAACTACAGTCCATTTACTTGTTACTTATGAATTTGAAAGAGTTGTAATTGAGTAAATGATTATTATTATTATTATCATCATTATTATATTTATTATATCTGATAAATTGTACTGATATATATTGTATATTATATAAGATCTATTTATTATAGTTGAAAATATTTGAGACCATCGAAAAGTTTGACATACTTCATTATGAAAATGTTATATTATGATTTTATAGCTTTAATAACTTATGCATTAATCTGAAGAAAAATTTGTCTTTCTGCTCAGTAGGACCAGATGCAATAATTACGACTGACAGCAAAGATATAAGATAATTAATGCCTGTATTGGATTTTGATGTATGCAAATTAAGAATATGTTCATCATTTTGGAGTGTTCAGGCAAATCAAGCTGTGGAATTGTTGCGCAAGTGTAAAAAAAAAACTTCGTATTAACCATATGTCAAATTAAAATATATGCTTTGTTAGAATTCCCAATGCATGACTGATTATTTACCACTCTTTTACAACAGTCACATTACTTTATCATATTAAACTTTTTCATTTGCATTGGTTTCCAAAAAATATAGAATAAGCTATAGGTTTGGTGCAAATGAAATACTGGATTAATTAAATGAGAAAATCAAAGTACATACTTTTCACTTTTATAAGTACTACATTAATCACAGAAAGTCATTTAAATATCTTAGCTTTTATTAAAATTTTACCATTTACTTATATATTAAATCCCAGAGTTCGCATACATGCTTTATGTGCCTCTATCAAATGTTTACAATTCTCTTCGCCTTTAGTAATAATGCTGAAAAATTCAATATTTAAAGTTAATAAATATACAATTAACGAGAGAAACAATTAAGAAGGTTGAGAAACAGTTGAAGTTTTCAATCATGTTCATACCATTCATCTCTGATTTTCTTTGTTTCAGGACAAGCACAACAAGGTTTCAATGGTTTATCGGATTTTTCTGCTTTTGTGGCTTGTACTTCAGCTGGTTTTTGACTAGAATTACCCATTGTTATTCTATGGAAAATGATTTTTCTACAATATACAATTAGATTACATCAGCTATACAACCACACCGCTTTAACTCAGTTCAGGTTATACTGGCTTCTACCACGAACGAGGTGCCCCTTGTTCCATAATCTACCGCCAGTGGCGTCGATATGAAATTCTAGAATTTTGTCGCTAATGACATCTTCTGCTGACAACTATCAGTACTTTTGGCCAACAGTTTGAGCGTTTTGTCACTACGTCAATTGGCGCTGTACGGAGGTCCTTATGTAGTTCGATGATCTACCGCTAGTGGCGCTAGCATCATTATTAGTTTTCGAACATTCAAGTCGTTCTCTTCAGTTTTGTTTAAATAATCGTTATAATTAGAGGTGTTTATACTTAAATAATAGTCGTAGCTAATAATTAATTGTGTGCAATTCATTTTGTAGTTGAAAATTTAGTTAGTTGTGACTAATGTATTGCAAAATGTGTTTTGTGTGCCAGCGTTTTGTGAGGACATCAAGTATGACGCAAAACGTAAATTACATCGTATTTTCGACCAGGAGCCGTGAAATCTGATTTACTGTTACTGGTAAGTGTTTATTGCAGTTGAATGTTTATGTTTTTCTTTTATCAAAGTTGCGACTTCTTTGAGTCAATCTCAAAATGTTTATGTATTACTCTAGAGATTCGGTTCCTATTGTATCGCGATGTTTGATACGGATTGTTCATGGGAACATGTGAATTAAATTATAAATTTGATTACCAGATTTAGTTGAAACACACTTACAGTGCTAATTATCTCTATCAGTAATGACAATTAGGCTACCAGTTCAGTTCAAGTCGCTTACCTGTTCTTACCCTTTCAAAGAATGGCGCGAGATTCAAATGTTCCCGCTCTCATATAAATATAACTTACGGCCTTTATTATTGCACAGTAAATATTAATAATCAGCACAGTGTAATAGTAATCAAACTTTTATAAGTTAAAAAAATAATTTTAGTGATAGATCAAGTTCTTGAAGCTTCAGCCTATGCAGCATAAGCATCATTATAGTGCACTAGACAAATTTCATCATAAAACATTGTTTCTTTTTAATTTAACATTTTTTAATTTTAATATTTAATATTATAAATTACAGGGACTCCGATATTAAAAAGTTCTACCAATTATTATACATAAATACTATTTTATATTATGTATATACAAATTTATACATTGTCATGAAGCAAATCTTGAAAGTACTATAAACACAATTGCGCTGTTTTTTCTTATAGGTATTGTTAAAATATATAATGAATTTTGTACTCCGTTCTCAACAATTTTCTACACGCTACACAAATGTAAATGAATTATTTAGCTGTATTGTAATAGTTTGTCTTGACAAAAGGCATCTTTGTCACAGTAGCTTTGTATGTTTTCCCCCTAACTTCGACTAACACTCCTCCGCCGGAATGAGCTAAATCCGGAGGCACATACCCCATCGCTATGTGTCGCCCAAGGGTTGGGCTCGGACTACCGGATGTCACTTTACCAACGCGTTCACCTTCCGGTGTCAAAATAGCCGCCCCTTCTCTGGCTGGTGGTCCTTGTCCCAATATGAGACCGATTCTTTTCTTGCTGGGCCCTGATTTGATCTGTGATATTATATTTTGGGCACCGGGGAAGTTCATCTCCGCCCTTCTCCTTTTAGCTGAAACATAATCATCGGTCCCGAATCATAGCAAGTATTCGTACACCTTTCAAAACGAAATAACATTTTTTCAACAATTTCTCGTTACTGGTCTCTATTTTTTTTAGAGCCAGATTATTTCGTAATTTTCTTAAAATTCAACATCGAGAAGTAGTAGGTTATATTTATATTTTTCATTTTTCATCCCCTTATTAATGCAAATCGTGCTAAGAATTAAACTTTCGAACGTATCACTCGTGACCCACTGTATTTTCTACCGACCTACTAGCCAAGTTAGCCCAGCTTCGACAGGGGTAGTTTCCTCGTCGATATCGTGACCGTACAAGCAGAGACCAGCTTCCAGCCTGGAAAAATTGCATAATTCATAAGACGATCGTTTCTTAATAATCTATCCAGGACACACGTGTTACCTCAAGGTATCTCTAGCTCCTAGACCAGCTAGCTTCGTATCAGACGTTTCCAAGAGTCTCTGAACCACGCTGTTCGAGATCTTCGCTGGCATGGATATCTCGAATCCATCTTCCCCTGTGTACCCACAACGAGATACTCTAACCCGACTTCCAAATATCTCGGTTTCTACGCTATTCATGAATCTAAACTCTTTCAAATCGATGTTCACGTAGCGCTGGAGAACGGTCGCTGCTGTTGGGCCTTGCAAGGCCACCAAACCTTGCTCCAAGGGATCTAGAAATTCTAGATTCACCGATTTCCCTTGGGATTTGAAGTCTTCCTGCAATTAGGACATCCGTTTGACAATGTTACTTTTTTAAGAACACTTTATTTAGTGAACTATTAAATTATGCATCCAAGATTTAAATAATGGTTTTGTTAAATTGTGCCATGAATACGTCGATATTCGCCCTCGAAGGGTTGAGATTTGGTTAAATTCTCTTTGAATATTTCGTACCTGCTTCCGGCACAGTAAATACGAGTCGTCCTCCCTTCTGCCAGCATTGGACACCACAAAGTACTTGTCATCGTCATCCTTGGTGATGATCAGGTCGTCTAAAATGCCTCCGTTGTCGTTAGTGAACACTGTTAGCACCGCGCTACCCTTCTTCAGCTTCTTCAGATCACTGGTGGTCAAAGATTCGAGAAAATCAGTGGCGCTCGCTCCTGAGACTTTAGTCTGCATCATGTGGCCCACGTCGAACATCGACGCGAACGTTCTGGTGTGTTGATGGGACGCTGCTATCGCCTCTTGATATTGAACTGGCAGCAGCCATCCCGAAAAGTTGACTATTTTACCTGAAGAAGAGTGATTTAGACACCAACGAATTTATTTCACTGTGTCAACCAACGGCTCTATCAGTTCTCAGAATGGGGTGGCTAGGCATATTAGATGTTTTAATACAGTCTTCATTTATTTTGCTTTCAAACTTTCGCGTATTAGATTAGTTGCTTATTCGCAATAATTCTCTCTGCCGCTAGAACTAGATGACTAATAGAACTTGTAGGAACGTATCAAATCATAAACAAAATCGCAGAGATACGCAACGTTTCACGATCTACACAAAACAGGAAATAAGCGAATTTTCATCCGAACAACGAACGAAGACTAAACGTATCAAGACTACAATTTGCACTTTGAAGATATTCTACGCAGCTAAAACAAAGTTGCATTTCGTGCTCGTTGAATGCAACTGCAGCCAACGATAAATTCCACTTTCTGAAGTAATTATCCCACTGCAAGGGTTGCAAAACCTCTGCTCGGTCTGACTAACGCGATCCGCGCAATAGACGTTCATCTCGTGAATTCTCATCGTTTTAGGCTTTCAAAAAATCCGGAAAAATTCCGAGGCACTCGCTACAGTTTCCGATTCAATGTACAAGCGACGCTTCAGCCAAATATTTCGATTTTCTCGCGAGGCAAAGAGCTTCTCCACGAAGAAACGGAATTTGTTTTGCGACTTTGCGAGTCGTTACGCTGTTAGCGGAGGGTTGAATAGTCGTTTCCAGGGAAAAGACGCGACTATTTCGACTGTTTTTTCTTTTTTTAATTGTTAGATGGTACGGCACATTACCTCGATGTTCCACGTGAAGGTCGTACAAACAGGTCTTCCTGGGCTCCGGCGCCGGTTTCGCTGCCGTCGACGACGACGAGCAGCGAACGTCGTTACCATTCAATCGCTCGAAACTATCGATCAAACATCTCGAGGCGCCCTGTTTCGGGCTGGTTGCCCCTTTAATCGCTAGTCCGGAGAATTCTCGGCCACTCTCGGCCAGATTCCTCAAACATTTCTCAAAGCACTCCAGGCAAACCGATCTCCCGCGTGCACCGAAACGGAACATCGTCTTTTCTCGCGATCGTTTCGTCGCGCACTGTCTCGTGATGTGTCCCGGTGCTCATCGAATATACCGTCCCTCATACGATGACCCCGCTGGCATGGTTCACAGACTCGCATTCACTGTCGAAAATCGTGACGCAAACGTGATCTGTTGCTAGCTCGATCGGGAATGACGGAATCGGCCTGCTTTTGGATGGAGTCTATCTGGACCAGATATTCAAATGGAATAGTGAGCAGAGTATAGTGATCGAGTTGGTCCCCGCGATCATCTTTTATGGTGTACGATATTTTTAGTTTCTGCGGTGCTGGGGTGATTTCGTTCTTTTTATTTACGATTGAATCGGATCTTGTAATATTTGTTCAAATCGTTAGGAGCAATGGTGGGTCATTTATTTGATGCATTCATTACAATGCAATTTTTGATCGATTCGTGTTAAAGAATTTCTGTTGCATTTTTATACTTCGTGTGATAAAAATTGAGATAGGAGAAATATGAACGCAGTGATGCAATTTGATAATTCTTCTTTGAATCACGTTCTGATATATTTAACGTTGAACGTATCTCGGTGAATTTTTGTTGGATGCACAAAGTGAATTGGCGAATGGAAAGTGTATTTGTTAAGAATACTGTGTACTGCGAACATAATAAAACTGAAGATTTTGTGACTTTTGTGGCTTCTTCATTTCGTACAGATTCTAATGATATTAAGGCTCGAGAAAATTGCACATACACACAAATTATAGAATAAGCTTGCAATATACTTGCTAATTGAATAAATGATTTCACGGAATATATCTGTTTTTATTATTTCCAATTGACTTTCCACGAACAAGCGATTCCTGTAACCATTATATCTGGTCCATCTTTTCCTATACAGCCTCTTAGATTTGTCTGAAGATAAAAAGTAGACGGGGCCGATGTTCGTAGACGGTTTGGCACCAGCAGAAAAGTTTCCAACGAATTAATGAATTTCTTTACGCGTCTCGTGCGCGAAAGACTCGGCGTCAACTATGTGTTGCAACGGGTGACCGATAACGTGTAGCTCGGGGGCGATAAGTAGATATTTTCTTGCACGACAGACGCCACGAATAGTTAATTATCATTATTTTCGTGCGTAAGTGGGGTCAGCATGCCGTTAAGTAGGAAGCGATAAACGACGGCAATGGAGCGAAGAAGGATCGCGGATGAGGGTGAAGAAAGGTAGTTAAAAGCCTCGAGACTGTAAACACATCGGATGCTTATTAAATTTTTATTGTACCACGTAATAATAATATTAATAATAATTAATAATAATAATAATAATAATAAAGATAATAGTAATAATCGCAATAATCATCATCGCAATAATAAATCGTGATAATAATGTCAATAATAAATGTTAATAATAATAACTAATAATTATAATAATAATAATAATCATTCGTCGTCGTAATAATAGCAATAGTTTTTTTTCGTTTACTAATAATGACAATTCATCGTCGTCGGTAATAATCCAATGACAAACGTCAATATTTTTTTTTTCGTAATAGTAGCGTGTCGAACGGAGAAACGACCCTAAAAAACGAAGACAGTATCAATTGTTCGTTCGTACATTTTGTAATTCATATTACTTTTTTTTGTTCTTTTAGCTTCCGTCGTCTTATTCTTCTCGCTCGCGCTTTTCTTTTCGCATTTTTTTTCACCTTTTAGTCTCACCTCTGACCTATCTCTCTCTCTCTCTCTCTCTCTCTCTCTCTCTCTCTCTCTCTCTCTCTCGCTCTCTCACTCTCTCCCACTCTCTCTCTCTCTCACTCTCTCGCTCTCTCTCATTCTCTCTCTTTCTCTCTCTCTCTCTCACTCTCTCGCTCTCTCCCTTTCTCTCTCTCTTTCTCCCTCTCTCTGTCCTCTCCTTTTCACCGTGTAGCACCTCATCCGTCGACATCCCTCGATATTTTCTTTTCGCCATGCGGCGCGACTCGGAGCGGAGCAGAGCGGAGTGGTGCGGAGCAGAGCGAAGCGGAGTCGTCGAGAGACGCACGGCACGGTGAACAAGACGNCTCTCTCTCTCTCTCTCTCTCTCTCTCTCTCTTTCTCTCTTTCTCGCGCTCACACTCTCTTCCACACTCGCATTCTCTCGTTCCCTTTCTCTCTGTTTGTTTCTCGACTTCATTTTTTTTCTTTTTGAATTCGTTTTCTTTCTCTCACACACACGCACACTATTTCCCTCTGTCTCGTGTTTACGCAATTGATGCAAAATGTCCCTACACAGTCCGACGAATGTGTGTGTGTGTTCTTAACGTTTAACCATTTCTCTCTCTTTAACCATTCTCACTCTCTCATGCTCTCTCTCCCTTTCTCTCTCTCTCTCTCGCTCTCTCGCTCTCTCTCTCTCTCTTCCGATCGATCGATTTCTTTTTTTCTTCCTCCGGGTCGTAAATACATAATTATGGTGTTCCATTTATTCTATTTCTCTCGACGCTTCTTCGCTTTTCTCGGAGATCTTCGATCGTATCATCGCTATCGCTTTTGTTGTTCTCCTGCTATTTTTCTTTTTGCTCGTATCTCTCGTTAGCGCTTTCATCCTCTTCGAAAAAAAATCCGCTATAGCTTTTTTGCCTTGTTTCAAAAAACACGTTTTCTCTCTTTTATGTTGACACGTTACACATTCACTCACATTG